AAGTTTGAAATCATTGCCACGAAATTCTCTTTAACCACATTACCACCTGCCATCACCGTTGATGTGTTCTTGTCCTTGAATGTGTTTTTGCAGTCCCTGCAATCTTTTGCATAGTGTCCCTCTTTGCCACAAACAAAATAGCCACCATTTTTTTTTACTTCTATGTCTTCTTAAATTTTTGCCCTTTCTTGACTTTCAAGCATTTGTGGTTTTTGGATTGAAAACTTTACCCTCGACAACATTCACCTTGGTCTCATATAAACCAAAATTATTTCGTAAACGTGACTCTTCCCTAATTCGAAGATGTTTTGAATTTGGTCCAAGGAGATGTCCTCTGACTTCTACAGCATCCTTTTTTTCATAATCTTGCCAACTTTGATGCAATTTTGCAATAATTGCTCCAACTTGAAAGGATTCTAGAATGTTAATCTTGACGGCACACATTTTGTTGACAAGCACTTGCAATTCATGGACTTGCTCCAACAAGGGTTTTGTATCAATAAATTTAAAATCTAAATATTTTGCAATCAAATATAATTGGTACCTTGCTCCTCTCCCTTGTATTTGAATTCAAGCGCGTTCCATATGTCTTTGGCACGATCAAACGGTGTGTTTAGAATATGCCCACGACAATGCAATTCGTCCTCTTCAAGTTTTTTCTTCTCCTTGTTGACCCTTTCAATGGCTTATGCACTTGACTTCCGTCCTTTAATGGTAGGCTTTGGATCCTCTATAGGCATCATATTGGGATCCAGGAAAGTAAAAAACTTCAAGGCAGTGAGAAGACTCATCATCTTGTCTCTCCAACGAGCAAAATGTTGCCATTAAAATAGTCGAGTTTCCCCGCGTCTTGATTCATGACTTTGATTGACTCTGACTCCATTCCTATAGAAATAATTCCTTAAAATTGTTAGAAAAATAATTGGGAAGAATGGAATCAGACTTTGAGACGTGAATACACCGTTTTTAAGAAATTGTTTGCCTCACAAAATTGCTAATGGTTGCTGGCAAATATTTTTCAGGATACAACAAAGTCTCAAAATTAGAATGCTAAATATCAGTTTTGGTATTTCTCCAAGAACTCTAAAAAAGAAACAATTGGAAAATAAAGAAAATTAAGAAGTGAAAAAAAAACATTGAACGAGAAACGTTGAATATATAATAGCAAAACCCTTTCACAAACAACATGCTGTTTCAAAAGGATAACTATTCATGTTTTAAAACTATAAATTCAAAGTTTAGAAAAAAAAAATAACCGTCAATAAGTGTCTATTCTAATCCACAAGCATGCAAATTGATAAGTACGCAATTATTCGCACACTCGCGCGTGGGTATTTTAGGGTCTACCCACTTAGCCCATAGCCTACAATTGTAAGGCTAGAAACCTTCTACTTATATATCGGTCCACACACTCATATCTTTTTATGTGGGACAAGTCACCTCTTAATTTGTTTTACAAACAAATTATCAACAGACAAGGACGATTGCTTGTGGAGTTGAGCAACAATGGCGTTGTTTCGAGTAAATTTGTCCATGCCGGATCATTAGTCGTGACACATAAGATGGTTAGTGATGATTGGACCGCCATGTTAGATATTTCAGGTGAGACTTGACCAAGAAGACTTGATTGCATTTTTCATTCAAAGGCTTTAAACAATTTGGTTTAATTAAAATGTTTAGGATTGAATTTGAATCCATACAATAGGTTTATGATCAATTTTGCAATTCTCCCGTGTTGAATTTCAATGTTTCCATGCCAAAGAACGTTAACATTTCGAACTTAAACAATTCAAATGCTCAAAAACTTGTCCTATTTTGGGAGAGATTTGTGTGTGAGAAACATAGTTCTTTTGGTCGCGTTGAACAGATATGTACATATATTATTGTACTGAAGCATAAGCTAAAATATTATTCCTCCATTTGGATGAAATGGTTATAAAATCTCATTAGAGGCTAAGAGAAATAATTGGTTTTTTAGTAGGGTTCAACAATGCCCATACGCATGGTTGTTATGCATCTTAAAGCAAACAGCTTTCTTGTGCCTTCTGTTGAGAGTCTGTGATGTTCGTTTCTCTTCAATGTTGTTTTTCTTTCTGCCTCTCCCCTTCTTTTTTGTTTTCAAAGAAGAAAACAGCAACTTTGCAGGCAGTAGCGGAGTATAACGTACGATAACATTCCTGTATTTGGATGTAAATCTTATAAAACATTATCAGAGACCACGTGAAATAATTGTTTCTCAGTAGTTTATCATGCATCTTAAGGAAAACAGCTTTCTTGTGCCTTCTGTTGAGAGTTTATGATGTTCGTTTCTCTTCAATGTTGTTTTTCTTTCTGCCTCTCCCCTTCTTTTGAGTTTTCAAAGAAGATAATAGCAACTTTGCAGGCGGTAGTGGAGCATAAAGTACGATATCATTCTGGTATTTGGATGTAGAATCTTATGAAATTTCATTAGAGACCACGTGAAATTGTTTGTTAGTAGTTTATCATGCATCTTAAAGTGAACAGCTCTCTTTTGCCTTCTGTTGAGAGTTTTCTGCTTTCCGTTTTTCTTCAATGCTGTTTTTCTTGCTACGTCTCCCTTTCTTTTGAGTTGTCAAAGAAGATAATAGCAACTTTGCAGGCGGTAGTTGATCCTAAAGTATGTTATTATTCTTCTATTTGGATGTAAACCATATAAAATTCCATTAAAGGGCCACGAGATACAATTGATTTTTAGTGGGGAAGACAACATCGACCCTATGCATGGTTGTCATGCATCTAAAGCAAACTTCTTTCCGTGCCTTCTGTTGCAAGTTTGTGCTTTCCGTTCGTCTTCAATATTGTTTTTTCTTTCCACCTCTGCCCTTCTTCTTTCTTTTTTTTTAGCTTACAAAGAAGATAATAGCGAAAAACTTACCAAAACTTTGCAGGCAGAACTTACCATTGGAGGATAAGGGTTTGGAAAGATTTGGATTCATGACCTTCATATTATGTGATATTTTGAGGCATCACTTCCCACCGTTTTAGCGTTTAGATGAACGCGTTGTGTAATATTTAAATATTCTAACAAGGTGAAATGGTATATTGCAAAGGTTCGAACAATACATATGTAAAACATTGGTAAAAATTCTACGACAAAGTTATAAGTCTTTTCCTCATTTTGATAACTATGTCAATCTAGTAGCAGTTTTGCCAACACACATTAATTATCGTACCCACAGCACAACGACTCTAAGATTTGTGTTGCCAGACACATGTATTCCAACATGACACGGCAGCATAGCCATGGCTGTATAAAACAGACCATTCTTACGGTTTCGATTCTTGTAGATGAAAAAGAAACCGGCTTTTGTATTAATAAATGTACAAGCCGAAACAACATTTTATCTCATTTTTTAATTTCTCATTTTTGCACTCATCTACATATTACGTTAATACTGCAATACAATTTAGCTTTAAAGAGAAAATTGTAGAATTGGCCCAAAAAAAAAGGCATAACTAGCCCTTTCCATTAAAAATGCACTTACCTAAATCCCTTAACTGTCCCTAAAATGCAACCACCAATTTGTCTCACGTTCTTTTGCTAAACTTTGAATATCTGGTTTTGTCACTTTAGCAAAATGCTCCATTAAAATGTTTGCTTTTAGAAAAGAAATTGTATAGTGATATATATAAAGCAATGTCAAGAATTTTCTTATTAATACATTATGATGTTGCATAAAGAATGAAATAATTTGCAGATCCGCGTGTATGAAAGCAAGCCCTTACGAAAGAAAAAACTTTTTTTTATGGAATCCAAAGTTACAAGAGTAGAAGGAAAAGCGACATTGGAGGTCTTATCCGAACACGGGATAAGATAACACCGATAGCCAAACGCCCCCCTACAGTATCAGTGCGGACGAAGCCGCTTTCCACTTGCCGGCAAATCTGAACGACAGCTTCAAACGAACACTGTCCTGCAAGCTCCCGCTCACTCCGACTCCCCTATATATAACATCATCTCTCTCCCACAAACTTCTCACGTTCTCCCTCGGTGATCTCTCTCACTCTCTCTCTCTCTCATTCATTTCGTTCAGCTTCTGTTGAAAGGAGCTCGGAATGGCCTTCGTCACCAGAACACCAGCTCGCGCTTCGTTCGCTTTGAAGCAGGTGCAGGTACGGAAACCGGCATCGGTCGATTCGGGGTTGCTTGATTTTGTGTTTTCTTTATAACGGGTTCGATGCTTTTAGATGATCGAGAGTGTCGATCTCGGTCCCGCGTGATTGGTTTGTTTGATGCTTGATCGCTGTGGTTGGTGGATATAGTTTTTGCGATTGATATTGGATGCAGGTGCCATTTTTTTTATATAGATTTTCAAGGCATAGTATGAGCTTGACGTTAGCTACTTCCAGACTAGGATGGATCTGCTTATGTTTTGGTGCTGGAGCCTGGAGGTTTTTATGTCTATTGAGTTGTGCTAAATGCCGAGCTTTTCGTTCATTTGAAACTGCATCGAAAAGCTTGCATGTGAGAGCATGCGACCAAAGTTTTGGTGAGAATTTGACCAGAATCAACGCTAAATACACATCGATATATAGCTCTGAAATATATTTATGGGGTAGTCTCTATAATTATTTTCAAAATATATAGATGATATATGTCCAGTTTACCTTCCATAACTAGTCACGTGCAGTAACATAGTCAAATTTGCGAGAAAATTTTGCCAAGAGACAAGTGCTTGAGGGCACATTGCCTCCAATACCAAAAAGTCGGGGGACAAATTGCAAAAAATTGAAACATCTGGGGAAACTAGCCACAATCCCAAAAACTTGGTGGGCAAAATGTAAATCTCCCAAATTTTCTGTGCAATTCAGGCGTAGAGCTTGGCTGATCTCGTTGAGGTTCTGCACTTTGAAGGAGATTGGGATCTCTGAAACCTTATAAAACATGTGGCATTGTACTTTTAAACCTGACTTGTATAGAACCATCAACTTACCTAGCTAGCACCATGCTGATTCTCAGTTTTCGACATTTTTAACAGGTGCCTGTCAGCAAGATATGTAATGTCAGGTCTGTCTCCCTCCCCGTGGCTGGCAGAAGTTTCCCATCTCTTAAAGCACGGCACTTCCAGGTCTTCTGTGCGGTATGTGTTACTATATTATGTCAACTATAACAGCACTAGAGCATAGCAAAGTGACTACAAGTACTTGTACATCTGAAGTCTGGGTCATTACAAACTCGTCCCTTGCTGAACAATCTTGCCGTGCGATCAAGCCATTCGAAACATGCTTGTTACAGGGAAAGTGGATGCCTAGGATCTTATTCAAACATATCATTTTGTTTGCTCATGGGGGAATGCTTGAATTGGTCTTGCCAACCTTCTAACCACTCAGTGTGAAGCCCACACGTAGGTTCTTAGAACTTGTAAATAATCGAGTTGATGTATGAGCAGGCTAAAAAGGAGACGGTGGATAAAGTGTGCCATATAATAAGGCAGCAGCTAGCTTTACCGGATGATGCTACTGTGATTGGAGAGTCAAATATCTCTCAACTGGGAGCTGATTCTCTGGACACGGTTAGACCTTCATCCACATGTCTTTTACCTTTTCTGCAGATTATAACGAGCTTTCACTTTATCGATTCGTTCCCGCAGGAAGGTACTTCTGCGATATAGGAATTTGTTTTTCTTTTTATCCGGTTCCTACCTTTATCAGCTTACTCCTTTATTAGATAAAATGGGATTGTGATGAGAACACTGCTCTTCCCTCTTTTTAGGTGGAGATTGTGATGGCAATTGAGGAGGAATTTGGGATTCTTGTGGAGGAAGATAGTGCTCAAAGTATCACGACTGTCCAGGAAGCTGCGGACATGATCGAAGAGCAACTTAAGAAGAAGGGCGCTTAATGTCTGAAGAAACAGTGAGGAAGATGTTCTTCGTGTGCTCTTCTTAATTTATGCATTATCTTTGTGCCCGTTGGTCCTAGAATTCCGAATTGTGTCTTCGATGTACTTGCATTTTATTTCCAGAGTCGTTGTGCCCAATTTAGATTACAGCAACTCCCAATTGCTCTATTTTCTCCGGGTTGTTGCGTTGACTCTCTCTCTCTCTCTCTCTCTCTCTCTCTCTCTCTCAGTTTTTAGCACGAGCAGAGTTCCATGTCCGCCTGGAGCTGGCCTTTTGCAATTACAGAATTGCCTTAATCACTATGTTGAGGGTTTCAAAGTTTCTTGCATGATGCTCGTCATAAATCCACATGAACCCACCACCAGATATGCCACGGAATGAACAGTTAATTTTGAATTCCTGTGAATCAATTAACTTACAGTAGTATCGTTCGCCCCGCCATTAACTTGTTTTGTGTTCTTGGGATCAAATTCGAAATAACCACGCAGTTTGGCATGTTCCATTTTGATGATGGAAGTTCTGTTATTAACAATGTCACAAGCTAGCTGAATATATTCAACTCAATATTCGAGGGCGAGTCTTGTTAAAAAATATTCTGACTGAATAAGACAATATGCAATACAAGTACAATGACAATACAAAGAAGAGCCGGAGTACATTGGAACATGCTCTGTCCTGGACTGGTTCTAGATTCAGAAACAGTCTGCCGAGTTATTTGGGAAGCCAAGTGATATTCTGAATTCGTGCAAGCAGAAAGAGATGCATAGCTTCTTTCGATGCTCTTCCAGAAATCCAGGCAACCTTCCTAGATTCCACACAAAGGGGAATAAACGGAGATACAGGTAATGAATAAGGCGGCCCATAACCTCCATGGATTTAACCACAATGAGGAAGCCGCCGCAATTCCGAGATTACGAGTGTGGCAGCACTGGCTAAAGCAGCGGCACCAGAATATTTTATCTCAGAAACGATGCCTTCAATCTTCACAATCTCAGACGTGCACACCGACAAAATCATTCTGTGCAGCAAATATTGCCTACAGGAGTAACCGAGAGAATGCAGCATTCGCTGTACCAGTAGAGAAGGAGCGCCCTTTTGCCAAGACTCGAGAACCGCACTCACTTTTGAGAGATTAGTAAGAAAACCGGCAGCACCTTCCCTCGGGGCCACCTTCAGTAATAGAACCATGCATTCAGAAGCAATATCGGCAGCGTTTCTGTCACGAGACCCACACAATTCCAGGAAAACACCGGCACTGCCACCAAAGTCGGTTATGTCTCTTACGGTACTCACCGGCTCAGAAGAACTTTCATCAAGTAGGGTTGGCTCTTGTGTGTACATGGAACCTATCCTAGAACCTAGTGATCGTAAAAGAAAAGCTTTGCACAAGCCAAGCGTCGGTTCAAGAAAATCTTCCATATCCTTCACATGTACAAACTCCAGAAGGTTTCCAATCCTCCGAACTACTTTCAGTTGAGAAAGCAACTTGGGATCCATATCTGGTGCCGATGCCAGAGCCACACACAGCTTGACATCATTCACATTTGCATTGGACAGATCGCCAAGCAAAAATCTGAAGCAGTGACTGACGGTCTTTGGTTGTAGAATATCAGGAATTTTAATTAGGTTGAACTCGATGAGCATCAGGAGGAGCTTCTGCGCATACATCGGTATTGGGTCCTCATCCTCAATCAAGGTTGGGTAAAGAGGGAGAAATTGCACATTGGATATGGATTTCAAGTCTTCTAGCTTATGCTCTAACTCTGGGGCTTCATTTAGGAAAACAACCATCGCATCAAACAGAATTTTGAGGGACAGAAATCTGGCATCACCATCCTTGTTGCCCTTGTACAGTACAGCCAGACTCGGCAGAATCCCACGGATAAATACATCAGAGCTTTCAAGAATCCAGGAGGACTCCTCTGTGATAGACTCAACAACTCGAAGAACTGTTAACTGGAAATCGTCTCTTCCCTGAATTTAAATGCAAAATATGGTGTACACAAGTGTCAGTAAATCAAAATCATGGGAGAACCTAACCACAAAAACCAAAAAAAAAAAAAATGGAATGACACAGCTGAGCAGAGAAAAAAAGCCAACTTCTTCCCTTCCAAGGAGGGAAAGAAAACTTCATGCTTTTGTGTATAGATATTCAAATTCTGCAATAGCTTAAGCAATACAAGTAGAGCCTTGCCAGAAAATCGTGTGCTATGTATGGACATATAGACTATTTTCTTTGAAAGCCGGAGCAGCATGCCTAGTTTATTCACTGTTTTATGTTATCCAAATGTATTCTTCCAATACCATAAAGTCTGAAATCATTTTCTTAAGTACAAAAAAATTGAGCAAAGGGGGAGGATCCATAGCTTCGGCTACTTACTTGAAATGGGCTCTCCATAAGTTTGATTATGTTTGCCAGCTGATGTCGAACCTGAAGAGTTGCCACCTTGTGCTTAAAATATGGGCTTCCTAGAAGATTAAGGATAACTGGAAACAGATGAATGTTTGTCTTTTGCGCAGCTCGACCAGTAAGGGGGGACATGTGACCATGACGCCTTCCCCCCATCATCTGTTGAATATCTGCCGTGAGAGTTTCCAGCAAATTTGGTATGGTTGATGCCACAACATGCACAGATGCACTTAGGCACTGCTGAACAAAGCTGTCCTTTTCTTTTGTCAGTCTGTCTACTATGGAGATCAACCTCATGTTGCAAAAGAGCTGAAACAACCATCTCCGGCTGTTTTTACAGAGAAGAGCCACAAGGACGAGTGCTTTTCCCCTCATAACTTCAGGTCCCTGCTCAATCAAAGAGATTAGACAAAGCACAAGGTTTTTGTCTTCTGCAACTGGAAGAAGGAGCCGACCACTATTTGTCAGCATATTGCTCTTTGTCATGGTCATGATCAGAAGATTTAAGCAGATCTGTTGTTCCCGTGGCCCACCCTTGACAAGGGCAGATGTTATATCCTTACAAGAAAGTTTCCCAATAACCGGATGAATGCTTGGAGGATTAAAGCGAACTAGGCGAACCAGACAAGATCCTGCTGTGAGCCTCATGCTTTCCGGTTTCCCTGAAGCTTTATATATATAGCACAGGTTATTAATAACATCCTGGCTGGTGAAACGAGCTGCCCAGTACCCTCCCTGACTGCAGATATTTTCTATTGTCCTCAACGCATAAAGTTGGGTCATATCATCCTCTCCTTTTCTAAGAATTGATGTCACGAGTGAAATTAAGGAATTCGGAACCTGGGCCACAAGGAAATGTTTAACTATTGAGAAAAGAAAGTGAGAAATGGCAGCCTAATAATGCATAAAGGATCAGTACTGTCGTCCACCTAAGGGATTCTTTGATAAGCACTGCTTAAGATTTAAATTTGCAGGCAAAACTGAAGGTTTAACAAGGATGGGCATAAAATGGCATGATGTCAAACATTTCGCAACAGAGACCGCAGAAGATCTAATTCATTCACATCTAAGTAGAGCTTCAGAAGCTATGCACAACTTAGAAATCAAGGACATTAATGATCAAGCTCACCTGCCAGTTCGATGTGACTGTGGATCGGTTGTCCTTTGATGGAGATTCTGAGGGCATGTTTTCTTTGTGCTCATTCTGAGTGGATATGTAGAAAAGCAACTCGCCTAATGCAGCCATTGAAAACCTCCTCACTTTTTCCTGCCTGTCACCAAGGCTATCAGTAAGTGAACCCAAGATCCCAGAATTCGACAAATCATCTTCAATGAAAGTGCAGTGCCTTATTAATAGACCAATCAGTGAGGCAAGTTGAACTCGCAAGACATAAGCTTTCGATTGCCGTAACATTTTAATAAGCATTAGCATGATGGGCCCATTGGTCAAGATATTAGCTGCATCTGGATAACTGCTCAATATCTCCAGATACTTGATTAAATTCTGCTTCTCCCCTGTGCCACTACTTCCACTCAAAATTGCTATGATTTTGTTGTTGAGTGCATCAAGCTGTCCTTTCGACATTTTTACAAAATCAGATGCTTGCAGTGCCTCAAATGGTAGAGAAGGAACTACCTCAGATGTTCTATCAGATTTTCTACTGGGCATTACGGGTCTCACTGAAAGATCAGATTGATGCCAAAATACTTGTACTATATTGCTAGCTGATTTTGCAGAATCGGATTCATGAGCAGAACCTAAACTTTCTTTTGCCCTCTGTCCTTTGGGCAGAGGACTGACACTGGGTGGGGTAGCTGCAACTTGAGTGAGTTCTGAATAAGATTCTTGCTCCATTGTCTTTGATTCATCTGAAAGAGGCAAATCAGAAGCAGCTGCAGGCTCAACTTTTTCATCAATATCCATTTCTTCCACTTGTCCCTCATGATTCAGGTTTTCATTTGATGATCTGAGGGCAGGAGAAGGTATATCAGAGCCATCCAGTTCTTCTTGCGTATCCTCTTCTGTATTTTCATTAAAGTCAAGTTCCATGTCCGTGTTCTCAATTTTAACCTCAGAATCGTTCTCAGCACCGCTAGGCAAAGGCCTGCGGTAGTTCTCTTTCTCATTCTCTTTCTGCAAGTTTGATTTTGCAATTCTAGAGAGCCTTAGTAGATTCAAGGCCCTGGTACCACCGGAATTATCTTTGTGTTTCTCTTCACCGCCTTTGCCAGAAGTCTTTGCATTGTTTTTCCGGCCGCTCAGAGCAGCCTTTACAGGTGTCTCATGAACTTTGGGCCCAATAATGGAGTTCTCATCCCGTCGCGAACCCACTTTAGCATCTTTTTCACGATGCCTTGGAGGTGTCTTATTCTGGACAGATCTTTCACCGTTATACTCTGAGAGGCATGGCTTAGTGTGAAGTTCAATCATGCTATCAAAAGCAGGCTGAGGAGGTAAAGGAACAGGAGGACACTTTGCTCTCCAAAAAGCATGTCCACAGAGCTCTGACCACTTTATTCGTTCTGCTGGATCTTTTATAAGGAGAGAGTTGATTAAATTGACAAAAGGACGACTTGGAGTCCCCGGCAGTGGAGGAGTCGGATCAGTGAGAATGGATCTCACGAGCTGAGTAAATTCTTGTCCCAGAAAGGGAGGCTTCCCTGTGTAGCACTCATAAAGTACACAACCAAGGGCCCAAAAATCCGAAGCATAAGAATGGACGCCTCCGTCTTCAAACAGCTCAGGAGCCATATAACATGGTGTACCGCGTTTTGCTTGTGGCAGCTTAACATTTCAAGTTCAATTGAGTGGTTAGTGGAAGCACCAAAACCGTATCCTTTCTAGGAGTAGGTGAAAGAATGAACGTAAGAGTGCAAAACATACCGAAGCAGAAGGAGTTTTAGATATATCACTCAACTTTCTTGCCAGTCCAAAATCACATAACTGCAGCATGCAAGAACGAGGAAATTATCCCATGAAAACTGACTATATAAATTGATAACGAATTAAACTCTAGAATACCTTTGTATGTCCATTTTCATCCAAAAGAATATTTGATGGTTTTAGATCGCAGTAAATGATTCCTTGAGAATGAATGTACCTGGTAAAAATTAAAATAGAAAGAAGATGTCAGAGAGAGAGGCCATCAAGGTCCCCTTCATAGGAAGAAGACATCAACCTTGGCAGCCAATTCTTACTGCAATGCTTTGACAAGATCAGTGGCAAGATCATGAATTGAATCTTCAGGTAATCGACCATCCTGAAAAAGGTCAAAAGCTTTTAGGCATGAAGGCAAAATGAGTTAAAAAAGCTTCACACAGCACGTCAGACATTCAGATCTTCAAGAAGAAACAAGTTTCAAGTAGTTGTAACTGAAAGAACATCATCTTGTTTTGTTTATGGCTCCCTAGCAGCAAAGATACAACTTCTAGTCGCAACAACATTTTAAGTTTCTTGAAATTACCATATTGAACAACTTAAAAATAACTGGGAAACACAAAAAACACACTTGAAATAATCGATCGATGACAAGTCAGGCTTGAAGAAATGCATCACATAACGAACTAGTTCCATCAACCACAAAGCAACCCAAGAAAAGAACAAAGGCCTTGCTCTCCATGGGAAAGCTAAATATCAGTAAACCGTGCAGCGAAATACCTGCCGCAATAAGGTAATCAGATCTCCACCGACGCAGTATTCCAAGACCAACCAAATGTGTGCCGAGGTCTCATACCTTGAACCGAAACAGGCGAACAGATAATTCAAGTAAGCAAAAAATTCCAATTAAGGAAGCAATCGGTTCACCCGCAACCACTCGGGTGAAATGCCATGGGATATTACATTCGAGGCACACGAGAGAGCCTTACCAAGAATAGAACTTGAGTACGTTCGGATGATCGAGAGAATGAAGGATCCTAACCTGCACATCCAAAAGGAATCGAGGCGAGAACAGGGTTCAAGCAAAAGAAAGCGGGGAGTTAAGCTCCAATCGGCGCTACCAACATTCAGTAAATCAAACCGTAACCGACAGAATTCCCTAAAAGAGCCTATCCGACGCTCGAATTCCCCCCAAACCACCCCGCAAGCCCCCACAATGCCCAAATTGACGAAATCGCGGCAATACTCGATCACTCACCTCCTGGAGGACCTTGCTCTTCTGGGACTTGTCGACGCTCTTGACGGCGAAGTACTCGATCGTCTTCTTCTTCCTCCCCTTGTAGACGGTCTACAGAAGAACCGGCTGAGTCAATTAGACACGGATTCCGGTGCGCGGAATCGGAGCAAACGGAAAGTAGGGAGGGAAGGAGAGAGATTACCGAATGCTTGCCGCGGCCGATGGCCTCGTAGATGTGGTAGTGGTTCATCGGAGCGTGGGTGGGGCCGGAGCTCGTTCCGGCCACGTCACGGGAACACGATGTAGCCGTACAGATCTGCTTGGCGCACAGAGAGAGAGAGAGACTGTTAGAATGGCTTCGGGATGAGGTTTACAGAGAGAGGGAGAGAGAGAGAGATCGTTGAGCTTTGCGAAGCTCGGAGTGGTGGGGGAGAGAGAGAGAGAGTGTGTGTGGGGGGGACTGTGGAAATGGGCGGGACTACGAAAGCGAATTGAAAAATTGGAAACCCCCGGAGGAGGAAGAAGAAGAGGAAGAAGGTGTAGAGAGAGATAAAGAATATATATATATATATATATATATATATATATATATATAATAAATTATATATTAAATTCAAATAAATAAATGAATAGATAGAAATTCAAAATTGAATTTGTTCCAATTAACCGTGGACGAAAATTATAAGAGAAAATAATACAAATGATTCATGAATTTTGGTTCAATGTGCAATATGATTCGTAAACTTTTAATTTGTTTAATACGGTCTCTAAACTTTTAATTCGTTCAATGTGGTCCATAAACTTTTGGTACATGTTTAATTTAATCAATGAACTATATAAAAATGTTTAATTGGATTTCATGGACTAAATTGAACATGTACCAAAAGTTTATGGACCACATTGAACGGATTAAAAATTCACGGACCACATTGAACATTAGGATAAATTTCAAGGACCGCATTGAATAAATTAAAAGGTCAGGGATCGTATTGTCCAAAGTTTAGGGACCATTTGTGTCATTATTTTAAGTTATATTATTTGTGTCAAATCGGCTAAAGTCGAGAAAAAAATATCAAAGCTCATACTTTTTCGTTCAATTCGTTAGTATGATTCGAATTTTTTAAAATGTTGATTGAATGTTAGTGTGCACAAGATTCTGGCTAGGCAAGTGGCTCGAACTCATTTTTCTCATTTCGTAACCGCCGCTCTAGCAATTGAGTTTCATAAAAAGAGTAGACTAATTTTTTTCTTTTTAAGTTTTGTTTCATGAGTTCGGATGCAAATTAATAAAACCTTCGACCCAAAGAGATTTAATAATAATTTTTTTTAAAAAAACTGGATTCATTTTTTTTTATGGAAGATGCACATCTTTTTCAACCTATTCATTTCCTTGTGTACTATATATTATATTACAAACTAAACGTTGCACTTTTGGGTGACTCGCAACTAGTCGTTATCACTTTTTGAAATTTCAAGAAGAGTTCAAATCGACATATCTCTTTCAAATAACTAAAAAATTGTAAAAAGAAGAAAAAAAGAAAAATACTTACACAGTTGATTTTAAATTCTGATAAATCCACATTTCAAGACCGTCCCATCACGAATCCTCGAATGCTCATGAAAACATTTTCCATATAGATTTGATTCACACGAACCAGACTGAATCTCGCCTCTTTCAGATTTCATTCCTTCATGTGCGAACCGAATGCACACTTTGCTGCCGATCTTCCTTGCATCGCATGGAGCTTTGGACTCTTTCAGCATCCCGTCTTGCGCTTTCGGCTACAGGGTGAGATGCTCAGATGCTGTTTTGCACTGATGGGTTCCCATCAAATTTTGAAAATGACGTAATATGCGCTCGGAGTTGTTCGGTGTCACGTCGCGGATATCGGCTCTGGCGAGGGCCGGTCGTATCTCGTGTGCTCGGAAGCTGTTCGACCAAATGCCGCAGAGAGACTCTGTCTCTTGGAACGCGATGATCAGTGGGTACGCTCAACTGGGTCTCCACCAAGAAGCTCTCTTTCTGTTCCGGTCCATGAGGTTTGCCGGTGCCTGGCCTGATCATTTCACGTTGACCGCGACTCTGGCGGCATGCACGGGATCGAATGATATTGTTTATGGGACCAAAGTGCATGCTCAGATCATTCTTCTGGGGTTCCTGTCTTACTTGCCGGTTAATAACTCTCTCATAGACATGTATGGAAAATGCTTGTGCCCGAATAGTGCGAGCAAAGTTTTTGAAGGAATGAGCATTAGGAATGAAATAACGTGGTGTTCTCTCTTGTTTGCACATGTCAATTGTGGCAATTTTGGTGTAGCCAACAACTTGTTCGTGCTGTTGCCCGAGCCGGTTCAAATTGCTTGGAATATAATGATCGCAGGCTGTGGTAGATGGGGCGACGTTGAATCGTGTTTTGGTTTGTTCAAAGATATGCGGGTGAGTGGGTGCCAGCCAGATCAGTGGACTTTAAGTTCTCTCATGAACACTTGTTCTGAATCACCAAAACATTTTCATGGCCGTATGGTGCATGCTTATATCATAAAAAGCGGCTGGGGTACTGCGGTGGAGTCAAAGAACTCGATCCTGAGCTTTTACTCTAAACTATGCTGTCTTGAGGATGTTATGAAGTTGCTCGACTCTTTTGGTACGCTGACCCTAGTGTCTTTGAATGTCATCATTGATGCCCATATGAAGATAGGAGACACCGATAAAGCCTTTCTTGAGTTTCAGCGAGCGCCCGAGAAGAATATAGTTTCATGGACATCTATGATTACTGGATATGCAAGAAATGGACATGGAGAACAAGCTCTCTGTTTCTTCATTGATATGATCAAGAATTGTCACAAACCAGATGACTTGGCATTTGGAGCTGTGCTTCATGCATGTTCTATCTTGGCAATGCTTGGTCATGGTGAAATGATCCATGGCTGCATAATTTGCTCCGGATTCCTAGCCAATGCCTATGTGGGTAACGGTTTAGTTAACATGTATGCGAAATGCGGGCACATAGCAGCGTCAAGTCGTGCATTCTATGACATTGCTAACAAGGACATAGTCTCCTGGAACGCAATGCTGTTTGGATTCGGTTTGCATGGGCGGGCTAAGGAAGCTCTGCAGCTTTTCGAAAAAATGGTAGCATCCGGGACAAAACCAGACAAGGTCACCTTCATAGGCATGTTAATGACTTGTAGTCACTCGGGACTACTGGAGAAAGGCGGAAAGCTTTTCGAGTTGATGGACTTGGAATACGGGGTCCCACATGAAACGGATCATGTGGCTTGTATGATCGATATGCTAGGTCGAGGTGGATATTTAGCAGAAGCAAGAGAGCTGACTGAGGAAACTCGGGGCACAACGACCATGTGGGACGCTCTATTAGGAGCTTGTTCTGCTCATGTAGATGTGGAAGTTGGTACATACAGTGGGGAGGGCTTGAAGGTAATGGATCCCCAGAACGAAATGAGCTACGTAGTCTTGTCGAACTTGTATTGCGCAAGCGAGAATTGGAAAGAAGCGGAGACAGTAAGGAGGGTGATGAACTCTCAAGGGGTGAGGAAGACGCCCGGTTGCAGTTGGATCGAAGTGAGGAATGTAGTGACGGCCTTTGTCGCGGGGAACAATTCGCACCCGCTCATGGAAGATTTACGTGAGATGTTACGCTTTCTCGACTTTGAAGCTAGAAGTTCGAGAATGTTTATTTCGGATTGAAGGGGATTATAATGTGTATCTATTGGTAGCAATTCTTTTCCCCCTAATTAAGAAGAGAAGAAAAGAAGTTGCACAGCAATTAACACCTCATGCATCGATGCATGAACTGCTCTTGGCACTGATAATGGCGTAAAGAAAGTGAAGGTATGGAGGGATATCACCGTTTGGCGTTTGTCCAAAATTTAGCAAGAGTAGACCTGTCAAATGGGTGAGTTGGATCGAAATGGTCCAACCTAAATTGACCCATTTAACCCATTTTCACTCATTTCCATTCAGTATAACTCATACACAATCCATACTCAACTCATACCTAACCCAATTTATTTTGCTAAAATACTTCCATATTTAACTTAATCTTGGCCCTCGTCAAGTGGTCGGGCCCTTGTCTGGAGTTGGTGACGGTCAGCCGCCGACCGTGACCGGACTTCGTAGAAAAAAAAGGAAAATAAAAAATAAAATTAAAAAAAATTAAAAATTTGAGAAAAATTTTAAAAAAATTATAAAAATTGTCCTTACATCTCCAACTCCACTTGACGCATTGGGTGCATTATTTACTACTAGAAAATTGGTGAAAAAATTCTCTATTTTTCATATGGGGTAGTTCTCGACCCATTTAAAATCCTTTAAGTTGTTAGGCAAGGGAAGATTGCATACAAGCTAGAACTTCCGCCGAAACTAAAGGTACATCCGGTATTTATGCTTAAGCCTTTCCATGTTGACGAAGAACACCCGAATTGAGGAGAGTTGCAATGGGTGTCGCTTGGGGCGAAAACCTCGTATGATCGAGACGTCAACTTCATCATGGCGGATCGAGTCATACGGGAACGATACCATGTGCTGAAGCACGAATATTTGATCCGATAGAAGGATCTTCTGGAGAGTGAAGCTAGTTGGGAACCCGTTGAAGCTCTTTGGCAATTTTAGAAATGCCAAAGATGTGACAATAGCGTTGCCCTATTAGGTGGGGGAGAATGTCACGGTCCCTGAGGTTTCCCATGCTCGAAGAACCATGAACCATCCAAGAGGAACGGGCGACCCACTCCGGTATTCTATTGAGTGTTCCCGAGGGCAAGCGATACTGTAATTATATAATATTCTAAAGTCTTTTCATTAAATACAGGTAGATGGTAGTTGAGGAGATGCAATCTCCACCGTTAGATCGAGGAAAGATCTACGGATACGGTTGAGCCTGTACTTATATATAAAGTATCTACTCTCCTAATTTGTATCTCATTCTCACAAGTGAAATACAATACAAAGCTTCTCTCTAAAGTTTCTCTCGCTACGATCCTTGTGAGCGAACTTAAAGCCGCAAGGGTAAAAGGGAACACTAAATCGATCGATCCGTAAACCCATTAATGACCCATCTCCAACTTAAGACAACCCATTATGACTTTACATCATCAAACATGGTTCAAAATATTGATTTTAGACTCATTTTGCCATCTCTAAGCAAAAGCCATAGCGTTTAAAAACTCGTATCGTTTTCGAGAAAATGACATCGAACACCGGCTTAGCTTGACTTTCTAGTCTAACCGTTGACTTGTATGTGAAATTACTAATGGAAGACGGGAGGTGATCAAATACATAACTTGTTGCCCAAACAAGTCCAATAATAAAATGTACTTGGTATTTTCTAGAGCCGATGAGCGTGTCTTAGGCTTCATGATGAAATGCCCTTTACTTGAGCATGCTTAAAATGGCCTGGACTTGGCCCACTACTGGGAAGCACAAGGTTAGGTCTAGCTTAGACAAAGTCATTAAATAAGGTTCCATATAGAATAGAAAAACGACATAAATGGTTCCGAATTTTGACCAAATATGCAATATCATCTCTGAACTTTTATTTTGTTTAATGTAACCCCTAAAATATTGATAAACGTTCAATCTAGTCCCTAAATTATGTGAAAATATCCAATATCGTAATTTCGTTAATTCAATTTGAATGGAGTCTGATGATTATAGTTTCAAATTGTTTAGCTTTGGACGGTAGAAAAAAAACGTTTACATATGGATTATCCACGTAAGATATTTATCTCAATTTAAAATATAATAACATATGTCATCTGAAAACGATGAACATATTAATGCCCTAATGTTTCTTTTCCTTTTCAAAATAGATAGATAAAAAGATAAACGTCTTTAATAGTTTGTCATTTGAGCAAACAAATTGACTACATTGAATATTTACAAGTAGTTTAGGAATCACATTAAATAAATTAAAAGTATGGAGACTACATTGCACATTAAATTAAAGTTTAAAGACCATTTATGTCATTTTTCTATATAGAAACTTTGAAAGGAAGCTTAGTTCAAACTAAATTCAACTAAATTCCTCCCATATATACCCAACAAACAGGGAAAACTCTATGGGGTTGAGTTTGAGTTTGGTTAGGTAAGATATCTGCGAATTGTGCAACATTTTCAAAGAGCTTTAGTGTTCTAAAGGCTCTCGAACCAAAATTTGAAAGGCTTTTGGTGCAAAGTTGAGCTTTGAAAATGTTCAAAGTGCTTTTCTAAAGCGTATTGTACATGGATTACCAAAAATGTTTTCATTTACGAGAAAGTCTTTAGGGTCAAAGTACATTATTCAGATGCAAAGTCATTGTTCCAAAGCTCTCTCACAATGCACTTGAGCCTCATAAGCTTTGCTTAGGCATACCCCTACTCACAAAAAAGATGAACTTTTTTCATGTATATGAACAGGTCTTGACAGACCTAATCACACATGTTAGGCCCAAGTAGACTCATCAAATGAGTGAGCCGGATTGGTCAAAATAGTACGACTTAACTTGACCCATTTAATCCGTTTTGATAATTTCTCATGCAATACAAATCTAATGACCCATATCCGACCCAACATATACTAACACATATCCGACCCATATTACTAAAGCACTTCTATATTTAACTAAATTTACGAAAACTCATACTCAAACTAAGACGAGTGAGCGAGTTCAAGATCGAGTGAAGTAAGAGAGTCATATAGGTGGGTTGGGTGTAAGTAAGTTGTGAATATAACTAATCCATATAATAAATCAATCCATCAAATCAAATATGGACTAAGAAATGGATTCACGACCCATTTTGACAAGTCTAGGCCCAAGGAACAACCTATCCCTGCCAATCCATTTTCATTTCGAGTCTACACAAGCCGTCAAACTCATGATCAGCTCTACATGCCGCAATCATTTTGTTTGTTCGAGTACTCAAGGGTCGAGTTCCGAAAACTTGAGAAAGTAGAGGGACCTAGCAGCAAATTGATGAAAATATTCATTGACCAAAAAGCCCCCCCTCAGCATCCATTAAATTAAGAATGCCACATACATTCCGAAGTGGCGAAACCAAGAGGGGGGAATCGAAGAACGCCGGCCGCCTCTCCCATCTCCCCAGCTCTGATCCTGGAAAAGCTGAAGTTCGAATTTGAAACTCGCCAAGTAAGCGCCCTTCGTCTCTGAATTGCTGTACTTCACTCGTCCTTTCTGTAACCATGTGGTTGACGTCTCGGAAGTAGACCCTTGTTAGCTTGAATTGTTGTTCCATGTCTAGGGTTTGTCAATCTTCGTGCTTGGCGAGCGAAGCGCCTCGCTTCTGACCCTGCGCGTGTTGGGTCGTGCACGTTTTTCTTGGCTTTCGCGCGTTTCGCGTTTTTTTTTCCTTCTCCTTTTGTTTAATTGACCTCCAACGTTCGTGTTGGTGTTTGATGGTCGGTTTATTTTGGGCGGTTGCATTTCTGGCTAGTTTTGTAGGCACTGGCTTTGAAATGATGGGGGCTATGGTCTTCTGAACAAGTGTAGGAAGTTGGGCTTGAGCGTTAACGTTGAGTGGAGATTTCACAGCAGAGTGTGAACTTGGGGAAGTTCTCTGTTTTTTTTCTCAAGTGAATGTTAACTCTGAAATTGGACACTGATTGGTGAACCCATCGAGATTGTTTGTTTTAGGATAGATATAGAATTCAGCACATTAGACTAGGTAGTAAGGGCCCCTTTGGACTTTAGTGCACTTTGGACTTTGCATCGTCCAATTCCTGATGGGTTAAATCGCGCATCATTATTGGTGTGCACATAAAAGCGAAAAGAAGACTTGGTAGTAAAACTCTGCATGATAAATTATTTGTGTGTGTGTGCATGTATGAATTTAACTTGGCATGTATGTCGTTAATTTTGTTTATGTTAGATAGCTTTTGTTTGATGTCGTCTAGGAGCTCATGATGCCAAGTTCTAGTTTGTGTCCCTGGAATCCGTACGTAGTTTTAAGTTGGTTGAAAGGCTAAATTGTGTAGTCTCTATCAGGCTGAGGATTTGAGAAATGGATTCGTTATGGCTTGTTACAGGTTTTGCTTGTCAATATCTATCGCAAGGTTTTTGCCACAATGAGTTATTGAGCTCTGCTGAGACGTCGAAGGATATTCAGGTGAGAGTGTATTGGATCTAGTACATGAAATGGACTGCAATAAGGAGGAGGCGCTTCGCGCGAAGGCCCTGGCTGAGAAGAAGTTACAGAGCAAGGATTTTCCAGGGGCTCGTAAAATTGTGCTGAAAGCTCAGCAACTTTACCCTGATCTAGAGAATATTACCCATATGCTTATGGTTTGTGATGTCCACTGTTCTGCTGAAAGGAAATTGTTCGGTAATGAGATGGACTGGTATGGAATCTTACAACTTGAACAGGCTGCTGATGAGGCCTCAATTAAGAAGCAGTACAAGAAGTTTGCTCTTTATCTTCATCCTGATAAAAACAAGTTTGCTGGGGCAGAAGCTGCTTTTAAGTTAATTGGGGAAGCTCAGAGAGTTCTTTTGGATCGGGAGAAACGGTCCATGCATGACATGAAGCGGCATGCTTCTGTACCTAGATCGTCGGCACGTGCTTCCTATAATAGGCAACCTTCAGCAACTTACCGGCCTCCGCAGAAGGCAAATTGGAACCCAAATGTTGGACATCAAAACAATACCGGTGGCAGTTTCTCAGGCTTTAATACCCAACATCAGCAGCCACAACATCCAGCTCAGCCTAGATTTTCTAATGGGCGCGAGATTTTTTGGACTGTCTGTCCTTTTTGTTCTGTTAGGTATCATTACTGCAGAGAACTCATCAATAAGCCTGTGCCTTGTCCAAATGAAAATTGTAGGAGGACGTTTCTTGCATGCGAAGTGAATATTTCAGGTGCATCTCCAGCTTCTGGAATGTATATGCCGACTTTTCAACATCAGAAAGTTTTCCCTACTCAGGGTGCATCTAAAGTGGAAATGGGACGCAGAGGTACTTCTACCCCTGTGAATGATAGGCCTGATGTCTTCAGGAAGACTCAAGTTCGCCCTGAAAAGGTAAATAAGAAGAGACACAGACCACAAGTAGTGGAATCTAGTGAAAGTTATGACAGTGGAAGCAGCAGTGAGTCTGATGAAGATTCAGTTATCCGTGAAGATGGTAAGTTTCGGGGGAGCCAGAACATTGGTCGCTTGGGCGAGCAGTCCCTACGGAGATCGACTCGGCAAAAACAGCAGGTTTCTTATAAAGAAAATTTAAGTGATGATGAAGACACCAACCCTGTGAAAAGGTCTAGAGGGGGCAGCCCATCTTCTACTGAAGAGGACTTCGAAGATGTGTTACGAGGGGAGACATCTGACTTGGATGGAAAAGATGGCTTAGCTACTAACTTGAATGAAGATAAGAAAGGTGAAAAACACACAGAAAATGGATGTTCAGGAGGGTGCCCACCGAATGATGATTCCAAATCAAGCTTCGGCATGAGAGACACAAAAGAACCAGAGTTTTATAATTATCCTGATCCAGACTTTAGTGACTTTGACAAGGAGAGGAAAGAAGGTTGCTTTGCGAGTGGCCAGGTGTGGGCTGCTTTTGATTCATTGGATGGCATGCCTAGGTTTTATGCTCTGATAAGAAGAGTTTACCCAGGTGACTTCAGACTGCGAATGACATGGTTAGAACCAGATTCCAATGATGAAAATGAGATCAATTGGAGGAAGGAGAGCTTACCAGTTTCTTGTGGTAAGTTTAAACTTGGACAGAGTGAGAACACTAGACATCGTCTCATGTTTTCTCACGTGGTCTTTTGTGAGAAAGGACGTCATAAGCAAACATATAACATTTATCCTCAGATGGGGGAAACTTGGGCCCTTTTCAAGAACTGGGACATTAATTTGCATTCTGATCCTGACAATCATAGGAAGTATGAGTTTGATGTTGTTGAGATCTTGTCTGGATATGCCGAAGGTATTGGCTTGTCCGTTGCCTATTTGGGCAAGGTGAAGGGCTTTGGCAGTCTTTTGTCTCGGAAAGCTGAAAATGGCATCTCTTGTTTTCAGATTCGTCCAGATGAGCTATACAGGTTTTCTCACAGGGTTCCATCTTACAGAATGACTGGTGATGAAAGGGAAGGAGTTCCAAAAGGGTCTTTTGAACTGGACCCTGCTTCAATGCCTATGAACCTGGAAGAGTTTGTTCCGTCTGAAGATCCAGAAATTAGTACTAATGGTAGTCATTGTGAAGCTTTACGTTCCCGTGTTCCTGAGGAAGTGAAAACCGAGATGGGATCTGAGGAAAATTCCAGCCAATCTGATTTGAAGGACGAGTGCACAGAACGCAAGAAGTGTGGCTCTGTGAAGCATAAAGAAAATTCCAGTGCTTCTGCTCCTTTAACCCCAGAAGTTATTGAAGTTCCAGATCCAGAATTTCACAACTTCGATGATGCGAAATCACTGGAAAATTTCCGAGTTGGTCAAGTGTGGGCTTTGTACTCTGATGAGGAGGGCTTGCCCAAGTACTATGGCCGGATAACGACAGTCCTGTCTGAACCAGAATTTAAATTGCAGTTGAGATGGATGTCTGTCTTTCTTCTTCCAGACAATGTCATTGAGTGGCACGATGAATGCATGCCCATATCTTGTGGGAAATTTAGGCTTGAAAGGGGCCGACAACCTCAAATTTATACTTCCACTGTTTCGTTTTCGCACTGCATAAAAGTGGAACTTGATGATGGCAGAAAGACCGAAACATTTAACATCTTTCCTCGGAAAGAGGAAGTGTGGGCATTGTACAAGAACTGGTGTCCTGAAATGAAGTTCTCTGAGTTAGAAAAATGTGATTATGAGGTGGTGGAGGTTATTGAGGAGAATGACTTGGGGATTAAAGTTGCGGCTTTAGAGCATGTAATGGGGTCCAAGTCGGTTTTCAAGCCTCAAGCAAGAGGAGATTCGAGGGTTACAATAGAAATTCCCCGGGTAGAGCTGATGCGGTTTTCTCATCAAGTGCCCGCTTTTCGGTTGACGGATGAAAGGAACGGAAGCCTAAGAGGCTTTTGGGAGATCGATACAGCCGCATTACCTTTGCGCTTTTTTAACTGCAGCTGAAGTGGACCACAGAACCTCTGATACAACCCGCATCATAATTCTATTTGAATAGGCTCGTGCATAAGTTGTTTTTCGGAGAGGTATCTTGGCTTGTTAGGTTACTTTTGGTGCCTGCACAACTGCTTTATTGAAGTGGGGTGAATATGGTGGCTGATCATTTTGAGGTGTTGTGCAGCTTCGCTGTTTAGGCTGTAGGTTAGCCCACTGTGTCTTGAATCTGTTATGCTGGACTAACCCTTCTAAAATTTCTCAAGAGTAGTCTCTTTATCTTGTAGATAACTTTAATATCCTTTTTATTTGGATGTAGAAATTCCATTTTGGTGGATCCTCTATGGATCTTAAACTCCTGCAATGGTAAGGGATAGCAACATGTCACAACGCCATTTTTTAGTTCTGTGGTGTCATTTAGCTCCTCTCTCTCTCTCGGCATCTTACCAACGTGGAAATTCTGTCAACTTGCCGTATTTTGGCATGAATATACTGCTAGGGTCATCCATTTTTACTTCAGAATTCTGTACATTGGCTCGGATGGGCATGGATAGTTGAAAAATCTGAACATGACGGAAAAATTTGGACCCAAGTAGTTTTAGCTTTATTATCCAGAGCAACCCTTCGTCTCTACTGTTGGTTCTATGAACCTTTGGAAAGCGGGAACAGCTTATTGATTTATCGAAAATCTATGAACCTTTGACCTCGCAAAATGACTCGCAAAATGACGCTGTCTCGGTGCCGTTATTGTCAGCTAATACGATGGTAAGTCGCCACAGCAGAGGCATCTCCTTTTGCATTCTGATTCATCTGTCGGTCTGTCGACAAAGACCCGAGAAGTTCTCGTAGGCCAAAATGACAATGACATGATTGTTTCAAAGCATGTCAAGCAAAGTCACCTCCGCATACTTGAAAGTTTATGATGCCAGAGCCAAGAAACGGCCAGACAATTTCATTCCGTTCTCTTGCTTAAGAGGAGGGATAAGAGTGAAATTAGAGATCACATTTGACTATGTACTCTTACTTTAGGTTCTGTGCATTTAAGGTTAATTTAGGCACGCATCCATTCATCAGTCCCCAGTATTCTTCCATAAACATCAACGGGTTTAACCAGTCTGAAAGATTTCTTGTTCTTTCCACTAGACATGATACAATGAGATTACATAGAGGATGGCTAGGCTAACATACAGAGTGCCGGCGGAAATTTGTATCCTCGCCATGCTGGTCATACTTGCACTCATAAAACTCTTCAAGACCGCATATGTATAACACTCTTGTACTTTTTCTTAGAATATTCCCGACAGACTCTGCTTTGAAGATGGTACATGAAATAACTTGTTCTATCTAAACTATAACCTCTTCACCTCAACAAAACCTCAACATAGATAACGACACAACAGGGGAAAGAGCTATTGGTAATGCACATGCGAGCACACTTAGGTAGGAAACCAAGAGGAAACCGAGCGAGGAATGACAAGTCATAATCTGGTTGTCTGTACACGCTTGTCGGGGCCATGGTGACAGCTTCCACTATGGCCGAAACCTCCCATCTTACTGCAGCAAGCAGGCATGTGAGGAACCTTGACAAACTACCTGCTGAAACACGCCCTTCCACAGCTTCAGTGAATCGGGTTTCGTCTCTACCATCAAAGTTTTTCCTACATATTGGTATGAGAGAAATAATTATATCAGACTTAAGTCCTGCAGGAACAAAAATAGACAAAGTCCCACATCAAGCCCTTGAAATTGTTTCCTCTTTGCTTCAAACAGTTTTTTTTTTTCTTTTTGATGACCCAGGAATCCCCCGCACGGCCGATAGCCGGACGGGTAAACCTGGGGTGACGCTAGCGCAGAACCCACCACCACGGCGCCACACTTAAGAATCCCTAACGACTACGCTGGGGTTCGAACTCCGATCCCTTCGTGGGGGGACAAGAGCGCAAGCCAACGCAGCCACTGCGGGCGGTGGTTGCTTCAAACAGTTTGTGTCCATCTATTCCAAGAACGGTTCAAGTGAATCTAAAATTGCCACACCTGTGCAAGTCGATTCACACTGGGCTAGCATTCCGGGGAACTTGAAGTCTCCAAGTGTAGATTTGAATGTACAGTGAATTGAGGCTCATGGCTATCCCAAAACCCAAAACAGCCGATAACAGGATAGAATAGACTGCCTTCAGATGAAGCTGCGATGAGCATACAACACGTCGTTTGAAGCAGGCAAAACAATAGCAAATTAAATTGTATGCTGAAAACCAATATCTTGAGAGGGAAAACTATTCACTATTTTGGGATTCTCGCGAAAGGAAGTGAATATATTCTTCCTAAGAAGGGACAACAAATACTTTGGTAAAAACCCTCAAGTACTACAAGAAAACCGTGATGACTCCATGGTTTCAAATGATTATGCTTCACTAAGTTATTTGGGCTCATTCTTCATGTTAAACATGTAATAGCTTATAGCTTGTTTGAGCTATAATAGCAAAAAGTATTGTTCACTTAAAAAGGAGAAGAGCCTCGGAGTCTTTACAATTAAGTGCTGCTGATTGTGAACATATGTACAGAAGTGAAATCGTCATTCACATCATATTGCATCCAGGATGGCAAAACTCTATCACGTACCAAAGAATAAAACATATGGACAGTGATGGCCACTAAAGCAAACTCGAGAGCTGCATAAGTCCATATGTATTCCTTAATTGCTGCAAGATAAAAAGCTAGATCAAGACAATTCCAACTGAAAAGATGAAGGGATTCCTTACACAAGTCATACCTAGGATGATTGCAAAGACGGATGCCAAGAGGCCCAAGGTAAAAGAGAATGGTGCTGCTATGATAATTGCTTGAGATTTGAAGTCGTGAAGCTAGAGAAAAAAAATAAGAAATAGATTGATTATTCCTGCGCAAAATAACAAAGATAGGAAAATGATAATAGCAATTTTGGTGGGGGTTGAAGGAGGAATGGGTTCAGGTTCCTCTTTCAAAGAGTGAATGAGATAACCTCTTTCATTGAGTGAAAAAGATGGTTCAGTGTGCTTACTTTTCCTGTTATCTCTACACAAACTAGAGAATTATCCAGCATAAATTTGTGAAAATGTGATTATAAAACCATACTAACGCCCAGTAATAACGAATCAATAACTTTCACTACGTATATCTTTTTTCATGGCAAAAAGACTTACCAGTAGTTGCTCCAGGAAGAAGAAGTAGCATATTGTACTTATTAAAACAAGCACCACAAAATCCTGCCAGGCACTGCACAAATTGGGTAATTACTTGAGTCTTGAGTGCTCGACTAAGTTGTGAACAGTAAGGATAATTTGATCTGAAAGCTCAGAGTTGCACCAGCAAGACGAGATGATGAAACCCGGTTAGAAAGATAAGGCAACAAGTTTTAAAAAGTGTCATTGAAAGCTAGTCCAACCTCACTGTTTGTGAATGCAAGCTCTGTTGATTTTGTTCTTGTCCATTAGCGAGCTGAGCGGAGGTTGCTACTCGAAGCAAGGTCACGGGTAAATTCCGAACTTCTTGGCCACAGACATCACAGTTCTTGTTTCCTTTTGTGCTAAACCATTTAATTGCACAATCTTCGTGTAAAAGTCTAAGGGCACCTTTGCAGCTGCACTCCATCTTCAATGTATTTCCTTCCTCACATACTTCAAGACAAATCCTGCACACTGCTTCCTCTTCAGGAATCTCTTCATCAGCATCTTCCTCAGGAGCAGGAGCTATTTGATCTAATTTACCAAGAAATAGTGTTATATAGAGCCAAATCTGTCCAGAAATGACAAAATACTATCGGTTAATTTTCGTGAGTGCTCAGACTTTGAAGTTCACATTCGGATATGGTATTGTCTGGCCCATGGCCCATACATCAATGTACATTTCAGAAATCAATTATAACCCGAGTCGAACATTAAATGACTAGGCAAAAGCTGATGGATCTACATCCTGATCCTGAAAGTTTTGAGTACACATTATCTACCTATCATTATAATAGGGGTAATACTATAAAAGTCTCTTCAAGAAAATCTGATTGACCATAAACCGGTGAAGTGAAGACTATAGTACCAAACCAATTATGAAATTTTTAAATATCATAAGTTAAGTTACTCATGTCCAAAAGCTGATGGATCTACATCCTGATCCTGAAAGTTTTGAGTACACATTATCTACCTATCATTATAATAGGGGTAATACTATAAAAGTTTCTTCAAGAAAATCTGATCGACCATAAACCGGTGAAGTGAAGACTATAGTACCAAACCAATTATGAAATTTTTAAATATCATAAGTTAAGTTACTCATGTCCACTTGGCTCTACTATAAATCTAAGAACAGAAAGAGACTAAATAAGTTGCTATTTACCATCAGAAGAATCTGTCACAGGATGTTGCTTGTGGGCAGCAAAAGAAACAGATCTCACAATTACCATATTTCGACCCGGTACCGACAGCGACCTGGATACGGTGGCAGGAAGTGAACTTTTCTGCAAAAAGCATAATCAACCACATCAGCATCCATTCTAATTAGCTAGAAATTACCGAAATGACCCAATAACTCAGCACTATCAACTCTTGTCGAAACAAGTAAGAAAATGCCACTTAGCATCAATAACCCAATTGTCGTTAAGATCCATATAAGACAAACTTAAATCATAGAAGTACTCAAGTACTCTAAAAACTATGTTTCAAGACAAATGAGATGCTGAAATGCAGCAGAAGTAGAGACTAACACCATTAAAAACTTAATTAAGGAAAAGGATGCGGGGGACTCACTTGTGATTTATGCCTTTCACCCGGCATCCTTGCTGAAGCAGGTGTTGTGACAGCAGGGGACAGGTTGGATGCAGGCGTAACGGGAAGAGAGGTACATCTATTCCAACGCAACCCGGACATGAAATTGGACACTGAAGGACTTTCCGGAGGCGCCTTAGGGTCCGAACTGAGGAGGCAGCTTTTCTCGGCATCAGGTGCGAGAAGCTTCTTCTTGAAACTCAAAGCTCGCAAGAATCCTCCAGAAGACAAGCTACCTTTGCTGGAACCATGCGACTGGAGAAAGCCCTTACTGCTAGAGCTGCTGCCAAAATGCTTTGGAGGAATCTGAAGGGAAAGATTACTGCGCCTTCCACTAGGTGCAGGACCTAAAGCCTCCTCTGAGCCACTCACGGTTTTATCATCAAGCTGCATGTCACAGAGATGCCATGATTTCACTTTATGCCTTTCAACTCTAATATATCAATAGTGTTGTGTCCATCCTTCTTTTAAATGTACGCATGAGGTCAAACCATGTAAATCTAGCATTGAGTTTTCTCTCATTTTCTAATCTTGTTTCGTTTCGCCGTGAATTCTGAAAACCAATCAAATGTTCAAATGAGGTAAAGCTCTCATCTTTTGGAGGCAGTTGTATAATTTCAAAAAAAAAATCATAGTTCCTGCTAAATTTCCCACCATCCGCAAATTTCTCAAAGCCTCCGTAGGGGTGGCAAATCGTATGCCGTCGCCGTCGCCGTGTCCATCATCAGTTCCAAACTAAAGTAGCCCATATTTAATCGCACTCGTGTCATCTCGCATTCGGGTTACTCCACTTTTTTCCTTTTTTTTCCGATAGGTCTCCCCACTTTTCTCACGCAAGCCAAATCAAGAAGATCTTAAGCCATAGCTCAAGCAAACTTTCGCAGCAGCGAGAGCAACGGAAGCGGAAGACGGCGGTGGAGGGGGGGCGCGCACAACATCGAGCTCAAAGAGCTCAGCTTGCACGGGTTCAGCCAAAACCGAGCAGAAATTGGAAACGAAACCAAACGCCTAAACGCCGACAACCCATCTCTTCTTATCCCGGCAAGAATCCGACCCAACCCATATCACCTGCTGGTGACAGCCGCAGACCCCACTACGGACCTCGATCTCACACGAAAAAGGAAAACCCAAGAATTCGCAACGCGAACAGAGAGGGAGGGAGGGAGGGAGAGGGGACCTGGGGAGAAGCCTCTGCAGGCGTGGGAGGCGGGTGAGCTTGAGTCGCTTGCATGATCAGACAAACAAATTCAGCAGCAGCAGCAGAAGAGAGAGAGAGAGAGAGATGGAGTCCGAGGAGTGTGTGCTGCTGCTGGATTTTCGGATGGAACACGAGTCTTATTTTCAATGGTATGTCGTCCCTTTATCAAATTCATTTCGCCCCCTTATTTTCCCACGTCGTATCAAGCGGTGGTGGTTGAGAATACGAGACAGACGGACGGACGGACAGACGGACAGCGAGAGAGAGAGAGAGTTTGTCCGAGGGTCGCCGTCACGTTGGGTCCCCATGCCGCATCATCATCCCCCTTTTCCGGCCGCTCGTGCTGTTTCGGTCCGGCGACGGCCCCGGGTTTTCCCTCGTGCCGGGGACCGAGCGGCCGGACCCTCGCGGCAGGCGCGACCGATCCCGGGAGACCGTCGGAAGGCCACCTAACGGCCGTCTCCGCCGCCGCGGAAGGACCGCCGTCGACGGATTATTCCGGCAGGCCATTGAAACGAGACGGAGTGGGTCTTATTAGTCGTAATCAATTGCCAAGAAGAGGACTCCGGTAATGGCTCGCGAGGGGTCAAAGGTCTCGGTCGTCGCATTAAAGAGTGTGGTCCCCCCACGTCTCATCATGGCGCATCAGCGCCCCCCCGAAGGAAGAAAGGGATGTGTCTTACCCACCTACGAAGCGAAGCTCCTGCTCGACGCGCCACGTGTACGTGTTCTTTGGGACTCGGTAAATCCGACGCGGACGCCGGTTCGGGTTAAAAAACGTCGATCGCATTTAAATAAGGAAAAATACCTCTAAAAATTCCAAATTAAATCATTTATGATAAATTTATCTTGAGCTTTTTTTTTAACACAAAAAACCCAAACTATTCCACTTGTAACAAATTTAGCTTGAACTTTTTTTTGTGACACGAAAAATCCCAAACTATTCCACTTGTGATACATTTACCGCACAATACTTTAACCCATGAGTATTTTCGCCTTTTTCCTTTTTCTTTTTTTTCCTTTTCTTCTCCGATGGAGGGAAGCTGGCGAGGGCGGTCCTCGCCGGCGCTAGGTTGGGCGAGGGCTGCCATCGCCGGCGTCGGGCGAGGGCGGCCCTCACCGACTTCCCTCCGCCGTAGCCGGCAAAGGAAGAGAGAACAAAAGAAAAAAAAGAAAAAAAAAAGACGAAAATTCCCATGGGCCAAAGTATTGTGGGGTAAATATGTCACAAGTGACATAATTTGGAGTTTTTCGTATTACAAAAAAAAGTTCATGATAAATTTATCACAAGTGGCATAGTTTGAGATTTTTTGTGTCACAAAAAAAAGTTCATGATAAATTTATCATAAATGAAATAATTTGAGATTTTTTGTGATATTTTCCTTTTAAAGAATTGTATGAGACTTCTATTGGGTCGTGCTGCGAATTTTTTTACATTGTGATTTGTACAGTCTACCGCATCGCCCGCTGATTGAACATGCAGGGTATTGGCTTATGTTTTTTTTTTTAGCCCCGTCATTTCATCGCTGGACAGCAATTTGCCGGAAACTCACCCGGTCGAATGTCTCTACCTTGGAACTTTAGCACGCGCTACGCACGTGCGTGGACGTCTGTCCTTCCGTGTCATGGCGTGAACTGTTCCCATCTTCTTCTTTTTTAATGGAGCTAGTGTGATATTGTCATTGTTGTTAAGGAGAGTAGTCGATAATTTGCTAAACGGATTTTTGGACTTTTTTTAGGATGGGCACCATATTCTAGCATCCACGCAATAGACATTAGCTGGTGACTAATTCTAATCTTTTTGTTCGGTTGTGTCGGCGCGACGCCTCTTTTACTCGGGTCGGAACATTGTCACGACGGGGCGGCATCGCAAAAGTAGACCCCGATCGTCTGACAGCGGTCCCAATCGGCTCGAAAGGCAAGATGGACGGGTTTAGACGAGTATTTCCCTCTCAAGTTAAGCCCATCTTGGCCCCCCTAATCCGTCCTCTTGGCGGACCCTATCAAATTCGCTACAGAACATCCAAAACTTTGACTAATCCTAAGCAGAGCTGGGCAAGAATTTTAGACCTTATACTTGGGTTTGGCCAAATGTCTCTCGTGTTTTGCACTTCTCCGCTACGGGGGCCTATGGCTCAAGCCTTCTTCAACATCCAAAGCCATGATCATCTCCTGAGACTGCTCGAAAAAGAGGTGAAATCTGCCGTCGGCCTATCGTCGTCGCCATAATGGCGACCTCAACCTCGACGTGCCCGTGTGCTCACTCCGTCCCGCCTTCTGAAGATCGGAGGGGAGGAGGAGAATGAGTCACCGATCGATCGCTTTTGACCCCCCGATCACACAAAACTCGTGCCCTTCTTTGTGAAAATTGAGAGCATGGGACGGAGTTCAAAGTCGCCACGATGGCATTCTCTTCCTCGATGGATGTCATCCCTTGGATCGCACGGATTTCATGTGGGGTCCAATGATTCGGCGTTGGAGGTTTGTCGAGCTCTTAGATATATCTAAAGTCATACTATTCATATTTGCGCCAAAATCCTATTGGGTTTAAAAAATCAAAATTCGGATTTTATAATTAGTCTTACCACCGTCGATGTGCTTTCATATTATGTTGAAAAAGTTAAATGCTAGTGAATTATGTATACACAATAATCTTTGATAATGTTTTGCTATGAAGGAATTTATTATTGAACCATATTTTCCGAAGTTTCCTCTTCCACCCTTTTGACTAATAGGTCACAATCATAGACATCACCTGCATTTATATTCAATTTATTTTGCATGCGAGTGATTGGAGAAAAATATCGCACTTAAACTATGTATGTTACTTTCAACAAAAAAAAAACTATGTATATTATTATTCGGCGTCAATTTTTTTGTTGGATCTATACATTTGAGCAACTATGTTAATCGGGTATTATATTTTTTTATTAAAGTGTCCTTTATTTTCAAAAAATTATTCCTTTAGTCAAATGTTGCAACTTAAGAAATTACTTACAACATAGCTTGACATATATTTTATTTTTTGTTTTCAAGTGTTTGAAGAGAGTAAAAAGAAAAAAAACCATAGAGTTAACATTAACGGACAAACGTGTTTTTAAAAAACTTCAATGAAAACTTTGTGATGAAGAGCTTCTCTCGTTTAACCTCTCGATGCATTTTTTTCCTTATGTTAAATTATTGAATTTTATAATATAAAGCAATGTCCTTGCTTATCTAATTTAAATAGTAGTCACGTCGGTTAATGGTAAAAGGAATCCATTAAACAAATTAGGGGTGAGTATAGTTCCAGGGTAAAACCTGAAACCTAAGAGGACTGGTACAGGTTTTAAGGTATGCAAGGTGGATTTTAGGTTCCAAAAACTGGGTAACCTGTTTTGACGGGTAAATTCTAGGTTCTAGGTAAGTGGAACCTGTACCTGTATTTTTCTTGATCTATGTCTTCGCGTGATTCTACAGTATTTTATTTTATAATCTGGAACTACTAATATAAGCTTCCATTTTATAACCGAAATTCTTACTTTGTTAATATTTAATATTTTTGTGTCTAAATATAAGTTGTTATCAGTGATTGGTAATCATAAAAGGTGATGATTCATTGCAATCGTTCAATTAATAATATACATGGTAGATTCCACGTTCCAAAAAGTTAGAAACCTTTTCAAGGGTAGGTTCCAAGTGGAACCCGTAAAAAAATCTGGAATCGTTCACCCTCGGGATAAATCACCAATTACCCAAATTGTGAAAAAACTAAAGCATTTAAATTCGAGGGCCCAATTGGACAATTTACATAAGTTGAGAGGACCAAAACTTAGAATTCCAGGAAGGTTTTCAAACTCCCCGGACGCCTCTATAAGTAGATATTCCCGTTCGGCTCCCTTCCCCTCCTTTACGACTTCAAAACTTCATCTCGTCTCTATCTCTCTCTCTCTCTCTCTCTCTCTGTAAGTGATAGATATCTGCAAGATCCATCGTCAATGGTTAAGCGCCGGCGAGCAGAGATCGCCAAGATCGCCGGCTCCGCCGCGCCGCTGGTGATGTGCTCGGAGAGGCGTGAGAGCCCCTTCAAGGAGGCCTCCGAGCTCTGCCGCCCCTGCGGCGCTCGCGCTCCCGCCGCCGCCGCCTTCTCGACCGCCGGCGAGCCCTGTTCTTTCGGTTACCCCTCTGCCGAAGCGATAATCTCGGAGCACATTCGCGGGGACGGCGGCGTGGCGCCGCCGATGGGCGTGCCCGAGTGGGTGGACTGGTCTGAGAGCAAGTGGGGTTCGAGCGCGACAGGGGAGGACGTGGGGTCCCTGATAGCGAAGCACGACGCTGTTCGTGATCGTGTGAGCAAGAAGTTGGAAGATCTGGAGAAGGGTTCATCTGTCCCGATCGGTGCTGGCGATTCTGAAGCTGGGTTCGGTTGTAATTCTGAAAATTTGAGCGTTTTCGAGAGTTTTGAAGCTCGTGTCCCAGCTCTCTTTGAGGATTGCCTCTGCGACGGCGATGGCAACGCTTTCTCGACTTCGCGGGAGAATTCGGCCGCTGGCGGTGGAAGTTTGAGAGTGGACTCCACCCCCATCTGCTCCCATCTTGAGGGGTGTGGATTTGATCCGGACAACTTTCTTAGTGTGTCCGGGGACTGCGTCAGTGACGGTAACCCGGCCATCGGCGGTGGAAACTCGGGAGAGGAGCCGATGCTCTGCGACGAATGCGGATTTAATCCTGACGAATTTATTAGTCTCCTGGAGGACTGCGCCGGTGACCGTGACCGGGACAGTTTCTTGACTTTGCCGGAGAACTCGGCCATAGGCGGTGGTGGAAGTTCGGGAGAGGAGCCGATGCTCTGCAACCTTGAGGAATGTGGATTTAATCCTGATGAATTTCTTAGTCTCCTCGAGGACTGCGTCGATGATGGTGACCGTGACAGTTTCTTGACTTTGCCAGAGAACTCCGCCATCGGCGGTGGAAGCTCGGGAGAGGGAGAGGAGACGATGCTCTGCGATCTTGAGGGCTATGCCAACAACTTTCTTGCACTTGAAGATTTGGATGTTCCTCTGTGATGTAAATGTTGAACATACGATGGTTTTTCTTGTTAAACTGCATTGTACAGGATTTGATTTCTCTATTTACACAATTTCCCTATTTACAGTTCACTGGTTTAATGGCATTGGCTCTCTCTGCTTTTTCTTATTCACGTTCTTGATAAGTGGGATTTAATCATTTTTTCTAATTATGGAGGACAAAGTTTAAAAACTTCATGAAGGCATAATCTCAACCAAGCCAAAATTTGATATATTGTCATACCAACAAGATGACCAGACACATGACTCATAATGAGTTATGAACATTGAATATACTAACTGAAGGTATGAAAGCAAAGCTGTTCGATCAGTAATCCGCGGAAGAATGACCATGGTTCTCAAGCGATGTTGCCAACACCAAATCCAGATCGTGTGCTGGTGTGGCTTCAGAAGCATATACGATAAACTTAGTCCCTTCATTTCTTTTTCCCCTGTAATGGATCTGGTTGTGGATGTTTAGACTCATTATTTGCACATCTAAAAGGACATTGTGCAAATCTAAATAACTGTGATGGGATTTTGAATGGTGTAGTGGGAGTAAAGGAAAGAAAGCGAAGACTTGGTCCTTGTCAAAGTGGACCGAAAAATCACGAGACTTGAGGACGAAGTGAATCGAACGACGATAAATCTGGGGGAGCTGTTGGCTGATCTGGAGGAGTCAAAGAGTAAACATGCAGCGTTATGCTTAAAGACAAATGGAGATGCAGGTAAGCTATGTGTAGCCCTTCTACAATTCTTGCCTCCCTCCTACTTCAGAAGTTCCTAATTGCGACGACAAATCAATTCGATTCTGAAGCTGGATTTATTTAGAAGTACTTATGCCAATGTTATGAATGTTACAACAGGGAGCCAGATAACAATCTCCTCCTCACAACCTTTGGAATGGTCCTCGAAGCTCAATAGTATAATGTTGTATCCAATTTCGTCATATTCATGTTAATAAAACCATGGCTCTGATGAATCTTTACGGCGACTTCTCTGTTTAGGCTGTATGTTCAGGGTAGAGACTAAAAAAATATACTATTGTACTCTTTTGTGTGATATCTCAATGGTATATGCAATGTGCAAGGTGAAAGTCCAAATTATTTAGGTAAATTACTGTGACAGTATCCTCGGAGTTGGCGGAATCCCCTGTATTCACTTGGACTGCCCCGGTCTGTGGTAATTGAACCGAAAAATAAGTAAAAAAATCCTGACTTGTCTAAACCCACATTTTCAGTTTGCATATTGTGATTTCGATGCAATTAGTTTCCATAAAGGAACGCATAGTGACTTGTGGTCTCACACAATAAGGTGGAAAGCTTTTCCAAATTAGATGAAACCCAACCCTGTTGAAGCAGGACCATTGTCATCTGTATTTGCATTTGTTGTGGCCATTGATATGCATAACTTTTATGATGCTTTCTGATGAGTTTTGTGTTCACTTATGGTTCTGTTGGCTGACCCCAGTTTCTGTTTGCTTTTCGTATTCGAGTTAAGAGAGGAAGAAGAATTGGTATGAGAGAGAGGTTCAAGGACTGGAATGGGAAGAGGGCCTCGAGGCTATTGATCCTTAGGCTTGTTTTGCTGTGAATAGTACCTCATGAACATCCATTAGATATGATCATGATCGAGATCCTGAAACACTAAACATTCAATATGCTAAGTAAAACGGTTGAATGGAAGTATATTCAATAGCATTGCAGATGCTTTGCTTGATAGCGGCGGTTGAACCCTCGCCCTTCTTCCTTCCTGAGTTGCATTGGTGGATAATCCCGCTAATCCCGACATGAGATCTATATCTCTGATGCAGCTTATTGACAGGGACAAGAAGGTAGATGCCAGTCCTCAGAACTGCACCGATGTCGAAGTCCTTCTCCTTTGTGCTCAGTAGATGCTCTGCAGGACTGATTAGTCACTATCGTGTTAGTAAATTGGCTAGTCCCTGGCGTTGCAATGCTTAGGGTGCTTGTTCAACATTTGGTGGATTTGTGGTCGAAAATGTTGCTTCTTTAGTGCTTTAGTGACGCTACCTCAGATGCAGTCATTCTATTTCACTGCAAAAAGGAATAAACGAAAAGGGTAAGTGTGACCGGTGGATATTAGGTGGGCAAGATTTTGCTAGACAAGATTAGCTGATCATGGAGTTGAATTGAGTCCCCAGGCATTTGATCTTGCCAAGAGCTTCTCGATTTGACTAAGTTCTCAAGAATCTCCACTTCCAAGCAGGAGGGTGTTGCCTGATTGATCAGAGGCTCAATGGGCTGATAAGCTATCATCTTCAAGATAGACTCAGACTCTGCTTGCTAGTCGCTAAGAAGTGTTCATCGGATTTTGCTGAAACTCGAGCAGTTCCGGGGATCGTCGAGCTTGAATCTCCGTCCTAAATGTAGATCAGATCGAGCACCGAATGTCATTGCCGAGCGGAAATATACTCCTAGAAGAGCTTATGCATGCCGTGACAAGCTTTTGCCAAATCAGTCTCTCTCTTAGAAGGTTTGATTTCCTAGTCATCCACGGTACGACATGTAGGAGAACCACAGGGGATGATGTTCTTGTGCTCATCCTAGACTCTGTAATAAGCATCAGCCCTCGCTGACGCAACAACAAAGAAGAGAAAAGATTGCATATTGAAGACGCAACGAGCTGCACTAAATGGCCAAAGGCCCAAGTTCCTTGGACCCAACAGCTAAAGAAGCTTTCGTTAGTGGAAATGGTGGGGCTGTGTTGGCCGATGAACAGAGTGCGCCATGATGGGCCCTAAGTGATCTCCTCTCCACACGACTTTACCTAGTTTTTGTCCTTTTACTTGTCCGCCTTTTCCTTTGTTTTTCCACCTTTCAGCGGACTGCGCGAACGCTAGAGCAGCTTCGATATGGCGGTGAAGTTTCTGGATTGGTACGTGAAGATTGCGGTCTTCTCGGCTCTCGTCGGAGGCTCCATGGAGTTGTTCATGATCAAGACCGGTTTCTGTGTGAGAACCCTCCATTTCTTTGCCTGTTCCTGCAATTTTTTGTTTCAACGTTTCCACTTCTTTGTTGGGTTTAGGTCATAGCTAAAAATTGGTGCGAAATAACTCTGAAGTTGCTAGTTTTAGGCACCACTAAGGTGCAGATTTTCCGGTGATGGGTCGTGTTCAAATTCGTCTCTTTTTGGATGAGAAAAGCGTCATTTGGTCAGTAGCTTTGTGGGTGAAGTTGAGAATAGGATGGAAATTCATGATTTCAGTGGTATGTCTCTTTTGCTAGCTTGTGAAAGAGGAGGACTTTGATTTAGACTGTCGCGATGAACTGAACGTTCTCGCTGTTCTACATGAAAAGCCTAATGTGAAAAATGTTGTCTCGGGTGATGAATGGCAATGCCAATGAATGCAAAGCCTTCCGGTGTCTGTGGTAAACATATAGTTTGTGCAGCTAATTATCTGTTCATCGATGACATCTGTGGGAGAAACTTATGGAAAATAGTTTTGGAGATAGTGATTTAAAAATTGAACTTACAAAAGTGATGCACGTCTCAAGAAAATATTGAGCGGATTGTTCTGCATCTATTTCATATCTTTCTGGGTATATGGAAAGAGGTAAAATTTCTGAAGGGACACAATAAGATCCAGTGATTTGTAGCCCTGTTATAATTGCAATTCCTTTGTGATCCCATTGAAGACAGATGAGCTTTCCTCACTTGCATCTTTCTAAATGGACTTTGGTATAGACAAAAGATTGGGAGAATGTTGTTTGCTTGCCTTGCCTTCGTAATTACCTATACTCTCATTAGCATATTCATGACGAAGATTATCAGGTTCTTTCCCATGCCATTGGTAGCTTATTTGCTACCAAAAGGTCTTTCTAGCAAGGGATCAGCCAAGTTCGATCATTGAAAATATAATATTAAAAGCGAGATTATGGTGCTTGTATGTTGCAGATGATAAAGTGACTGTATTGGAGTCGGAGAAGCGGGCTTGGGAGAATTCGCCTGAAGCTCAGGCTGTCAGAGAAGCTCTTAATCCTTGGAGAAATCATGATGCAGAAGCAAAAAAGAAATCATAGTGCTGCCATTGTTGAGTTATTCCTGGTATGATTTTTTCTTTCCTGACTGCTCTCATTGCACGTCACTAGACCTTTCTTCAAATGATGTTCTTGATGAAAAAGTCTGATGACATTCAGAACAAATAGGTCTAAGTGGTCGAGCAATTTTGGTTAACTCCTTTTAGTTAGTGTGTAAACCATGTTATTCATGCAACATTTCGGCCATAGGTTTCAATAATTTTGGCTATTAGACTTTATGTATTACCAGTGGTCAGCCTTTCTGGTTCGCAAGCATATATTGACCCTTACATTCGCCCATTTTGTGGCTTTCTCGTTAACATGGCTGAGGGATGATTGACGGGACGATCAAACATTAGTTCTATTTGATTATGTTTAATCTTGTTGCCTTTATATGTCGGCAAAGAGTATTTAAACTTGGACGACTATACATGCTGATACTGTGAGCTTCGTGAGTGTGAGATGAGGATGTGAACTTCTAAACACGGAGATTGTAAACTTGATGCTTGAACTTTGTCTGCAGGAACATGAAACTTAAAATTACGCCAGACAGCATCCGCACCTCGGCTGTCTCTGTCCTGGAATGAATTTGGAACATCCTGAAATGTGCTGATGCGATTTCTGTCTTATTTCCCGCTCAGCGAGTGGGATTTTCCTGTATGCGGGCTCTGGAATTTATATGTTCTATTGGCATCGTTCTTTATGTAGGTAGTTCCCACATCATCATCCAAATGTACTTCACATTCTCTTTGGCTTACTGCAGAAAACCCAGTATAGCTTTCATGTGCTTTTTTTCTCTTTGATCAATAATAACGAAGTTCTATGAAAAAACTCGGTTTTGATCAGGTGATATCCGATGGCTGGTTGTCCTCGGACCATGTCGATGAACTGAAAAATGGTTATGTCGAGCGGTCAGACTCGTGTTGGCACGATTCCGAGGACGCAAAGGACCTAGCAATCATATCATGGCCCTCGAGCAGGCTCGTCAATGTGATGAGCATAGCGGTTAGGTCAAGGGGTCAAAGGCTTGCGACGGTTTTTCGACTAAACACCGTCTCAAAGGTCTACTAAATTAAAGTCAATCACATTTCGAGAACCTGTGGTACTTATTCTCGGTCTCATCAGAAATTCCGTGCAATTTTTGCACCGTGATTTATACGGTCCGTCGCATCACCCGCTGATTGAACCTGTACAGTGTTTCTCTTCTGCATTTCTCATATGAGCCCGTGATTTCACTGCTAGTCCAAATTAAGCTAGAAACTTGCCCGATCAAATGCTTATCTTAGGACTTCAACACGCACCAAGCATGTGTAAAACGTCTATCCTTTGGTTATGCACAAACCATTCCCACCTTGAGCAAGTAGAGATCATATTGGTCGGAGTTCACGGTCGCCTCGATTTCATTTGCTTCATTTGCTTCCTCGACGGATCTCATCCTTTGGATTGTGGGGTCAAAGGATCCGGCAGTCGAGATTTATCGAGCTCGTAGACATATTCGGAGCATTCTAAATAGTTATATTATTCTTCTATGCGCCAAAATCCCGTTTGGTTTTAAAACATACAATTCAAATCCTGTGATTGGTCCGACTACCGTGATTTCGCTTTCGTATTATGTCGAAAAGGTAAATGCGAGTTAATCGTGTTCGGGCAATAATCTCTGATAATGTTTTCGCTAAAATGGGATTATTATTGGATCGTGTTTTCCGAAATTTCCGTCACTACCCTTCCGGTTGGTGAGTAACAACCACGGCCACCACCTACATTTATATTCCATTAATTTTGCATGCGAGTGATGTCCGCAACTTATTATGCATCAATTAAAAGAATGCTAGGAAGGAGTTTCCCCCAACTGCCACTAGTTATGGTTGGAGGGAAAATATAGCACATAAGCTATGCATATGGCTATGTGATGTCGATTTAGTAGTTCAATTGTAACGGGAATGATACTTATGATTTAATTCTTTTTTATTTCAATCGAGGTCGTTAATTCATTTTACGTTCGTCAATATCGATTTTATTTTTAGATTATATTTAGAAATTTAGGTGGTGTTGTCTACATGTTGTTTTACTATATGATGCCTAACATAGCACATTGAAAAAATACAGGATTTTGGAGAAAAGATGGGGTTTTTCATAGGGAAACACTTGGGATATTGGAGAATTTGCTGTAATTTTTTTTTCCTTCTTGTTCTTTTGGTAGCCACATTTGACAATCTACATGAGTTTTTTTTTTTTGGTCGAAACAATCTACGTAGGTTAAAGAGTGCCGATAATTAGAAATTCCCAAAAGTTTTCAATGCGCGGATGTTGCGGAAGGTGAATGGGACAATCTGTCGCAATCGCTTTCGGTAGTTTTGCCATTTTTTTTTTGTCTGTCCTACTCTAACTCTCAACTCACTCTCAAACTTTTGCCTTGCCTATGCAGGGCGCGGGAGTCAAAATCCACATCTGAAACTACACGTTCCCACCCCTAGCCCCTCTGAAAAGGTGGGGATTTGAACTCCCCATCTCCCCCTTCCCAAATAGGAAGGGTGGCCACTGGGGCAAACCCAGTGGTTGTAGTTTTGCCATTTTAAGTTGCTCAAGAAGGCAAATGAAGGAGGACGATGAGAGCTTCAGGGAGGGTTGTGGCGACCGTGGAGACTGAAAATGAAGAAAAACCAAAAGGGCAATAAAGAACGAGACATTACACTTGATTTGTAGCCGATCTTATATGGAAATTCTTATCCCAACAATGTAGAAAAGGAAAATGTAATTTGAGAATTCTCATGCCACATTAAAAGGTTATACGGTTATGGCGAGCAGGCAAAATTCGATATCCTCTATTCTTCAGCCTTAATTAGCTGAATGATGTTGAAATTGGAGCAAAGATATCCCTCAAATGATGAATTCATCAGCTAAGCTCGTGTTTATCTATTGTTTGCTGCTGGCTAGTTGTGCAGGAGATGTTTGGGCCGAGACACGTGTTTTCATCTGGAACGAGTTGCCGGCTAGAACCAATCTGACAGTTCATTGCAAATCCAAGGACGACGATCTCGGAATCCAAGAGATACCGCCATCGTCATACTGGGTTTTCCATTTCGGAACCGATTTCTTCTGGAGGACGTTGTTTTTCTGCAGCTTTTCATGGCCGGGCGAATTTTACTCGTTCGATATATATGTACAAAAGAGGGACGAGAGAAGATGTCACTATTGTGAATGGAACATCTATCCCACTGGTCCTTGTAGGTTTGACCCTGGCACCAGAGGCTTCACCAATTGTTACCAATGGGATCAATATGAGAGGAAGCCTCCTACATAAATGTAAAGATGATGTTGTGAACCGATACATCACAATTTAGACTGGAATAAGAATAGAGGATAATCGAATTTTGCCACCCGCGAAATGACTTGGCCACAAAATGGGGAACCGCATGGGTCAAAATGAAGCTTTGCAAGCCAGAAAGGCTGATCAATGATAATGCACGAGTCTATTCAGCCAGAATCATTAAGACCTATCGCCAAAATGTTTCATGAAATACATGGATTACACACTAAATAAAAGGAGTAAAAAGCAAAAATTGCTCGACCACCTAGACCTATTTGTTCTGAATGTTATCAAACTTCTCCATCAGGAGCATGGTTTGCAGAAAGTTCTATCCTCGTTGAATGGAAGTGTTCGAGAAAAAATCATACCGGAGACAAACTCAACAATGGCGGCACCATGAATTCCTTGTTGCTTCTGCATCATGATTTCTCTAAGGACTAAGAGCTTCTCTGATAGCCTGAGCTTCTAGCGAACTCTCCCAAGCCCGCTTCTCCGACTCCGATACCTTTCAATGATACCTTGAATCATCTGCAACATGCAAGCCCCGCCATCTTCCTTTCAATACGATACCTTCAATGATGGAACTTGGTTGATCCTTGAAAGACGGACCCTTTAATAGCAAAACGAGCAACCAATGGCATGGTAAAGTATCTGATGATCTTCAGTCATTAAGATGCTTACAGAAGCAAACAAGATTCTGCCAGTTTTTTGTCTATACCAAAGTCCATTGAGAAAGATAAGAGAGGAGTTGCAAACATAACAACACTACCGCATCACTGCTTTTAATTGTGTTCCTTCAGAAATTTCACGTTTTTCCTGCTACGATATGAAGTAGACGCAGAACAATCTTGCTCAATGTTCTCTTGAGACGTGCATCACAGTCGCAAGTACAGCTTTAAAACCACTATCTCCAAAACTAATTTCTAAGTTTCTCTGTCCACAGAAGTCATCAATGAACATATTAATTAGTTCCATAAACTATCCGATCTCATGAGCAATAACACTCCGCAGACAGTTGGAAAGCTTCGCATTCACTGTCTGCATTGCCATTCATCACCCGAGACGGTCAATTCATCGCCATAATAAGACAGGTCTAAATCGAAGCTCGTCTCTTTCACAAGCTAGCAAAAGAGACGTACCACTGAAATCATGAATCTCCCCTATCCCCAAACTTCACCCACGAAGCAACTGACTGAATGATGCTCTTCTCATCCGAAAAGAGACGAATTTGAACACGACCCGCCAAGTGTATTCTGTACCATGCAGTTTAACAAGAAAAATCACACGCATTTCGCATTTACACCACGGAGGAACATCCAAATCTTCAAGCGGAAGAAAGTGGTCGGGATTTTATCCATAGCCCTCAGGATCGCAGAGCATTGACTCCTCTCCCGAGCTTCCACCGCTGATGGCCGAGTTCTCCGGCGACGAGCTTAAAAACTCTCAAAAACGGAATCCATCTCTTGATCGGCTAAAATTTATGATACAACCAAATCCAGCTCCAGAATCGCCACCTGCCAGCAGGGAGGAGACAACGACGGCGGCGCAAGGGCCTCTTCAAGAAGGTCTCCAAGCCCTGCCACCTCTGCGGTGCTCGCGCTTCTGTCATTGTCTTCTCCCCGGCCGGCAGGGCCCTTTTTTTCGGCGATGGCATTTGAAAACTTATGGAATTCTTAATTTTTGGTCCTCTTTAACTTATGTAGATTGTCAAATGTGGCTACTAGGGGTGTCAAAAATACCCGCTCAAACATGACCCGACCCAAACCAACCCGAACCGATCCGATCCAAATAGGGAATTTTCGTATTAGGTTGGGTTGGCCTTAACTTGTTTGGGTAACAGTACAAACAAGGCTTAAGCTTGTTTTGGATCTACCCGAGCCCGCCCGAAACAAGCCCACCCAAAACAAACAAGAGCCATTTGTTCTTCTTGCTGCAAGCCCGCCCCAAACCCTATCATCTTCTTCTAGAGCTCCGGATCTGCAACTAGCGATCGAGTAGTGCGACGCGCAGGCAAATGGTGGCGACGATCGGCGTCTTCGCCGTCGGCGCCACCCTGATTGCGGCTGGCATCACCAAGTTGGCGAAGTAGGGTTCTGCAGTGTTCCAGAAATATTCTCATGGGTTTGTGACCAAAAGTTCTCTGTTCAATGAAGGTGAATCTGCGAGGGAGGGAGCGAAGGAAGAAGAGAGAGGTCAGTCGAATCGAACGTGTACCTTGAGATTGTGATTGTACTCGCCGTTGTGTGTCAGTCTATAAGTCCCATGTTCAGTTCGCTCTCTAGAACCCTACTTCGACATATATGATGTTGCAGGCGGCTTTGAAGTTTCAAAAAGCTTTTTGCATATTGGAAATTCAAGATAGCAAATTTGTTGAAGAACTGTCCAAGGCGAAAGGGTTGCTTACTAGTGATGATTGGGATTATGCCCGTCACCTTCTTCCTTTCCTGAAGTTGTTCTTTGATACGACTTCAAAAGTTTCAGGTTCTTTTTATGTCACTAGTAATGATTTGGCAAAGGATGTCTATGGGCTTTTTAGGATGATTAATGAATATTGTGAGAATGAGGATAAAAGTTTGCAGAAAATGGCTAAAAGAATGAAGACCAAATTCAGTAAGTATTATGGCAACGTGAACAACATCAATCTTAATTTGTTCATTACTTGCATACTTGACTCTCGACATAAGTGGGAATATGTGAAATGGTTGATTAATGATGTTTATGAGAGCAAGCTAGCAGAAATTTTACATGATAAAGTAACATCATCGCTAACATCATTGTACGAGCAATACCGCACTGGTAAATACCCCCAAGGCAACTTGAGATTAAATGGTACAAGGACAGTAAATGTGTCAAAGTCTCCCGTGGTTGGTGCGAACTTTATGACTGCAAAGTATCTTAACAAAACGGGACAACAAATTTTGGAAGAAAAATCTGAATTGGATAAATATTTGGAGGAAGGATGTGAACATTATAGCCCCGACTTTGATATCTTAACTTGGTGGAAAGTTAATTCTTCGAGATATCCTATCCTATCCTCTCTTCCATTGCTCGAGATATTTTGGTCGTACCCGTATCGACTGTAGCATCAGAGGCCGCATTCAGCACGGGAGGTCGTGTACTCGATGTCTTTCGTAGCTCCTTGACCCCAAGAATGGTGGAGGGTCTTATATGTGCTTAAGATTGGCTACAATCCTTGCCACTTTCACTTTCAATTGAGGATGACTTAGAAGAACAAGAAAATTTTGAGTCAGGTCAGAAAACATAATTGTGGAATATTTATGCTTTGGTGGAGTTGCCTTGGTGGAGTTGCTTTGGTTTGGTTTGCTTTGGAGTAGATTTGATTCACTTTTGGTGGAGTTGCTTTGGTTTCTCTTTGGATCACTACGACTATCAACAGAATGCTGGCATCCGGCTAGTGTTAAACGTCCAATTGAATTCAAATGAAATGTTTGCATAGTTATTTGATTAGACATTAGAGACATTTTCCCTCGAGATCACTTGTTTGTCATTTTTTCTCTATTGGGCATGGGTAGATGCGAGAGTACATGATCTTGACTAGCCCTTTAACTTTGTTTAAACATTATTGATCTAGCCTCATGCAACTTCTCTCTTTTTGTTTCATTCCGATTCAAAGCTGGTGTTAAAATGGGTTGTTAACTTGTGTAAATAGGAATTTCTCGTGCCGTCATCATCTACTTCTGTACTTCTTTGTTTGAACAGGCGAACAAAACAACCTAAGTTCTGTTTATGGGATGTTCTGTTTCCTTCTTAAGAGAAGATGTAGGTGGTCAAGCAAAAATCTAAAACACGAACTCGACCCGACCCGACCCGATCGCGCAGCTATATCATGTTCGGGTCTTGTTTCGGGTCGGGCCAAGTAAACATATGCATTGTTTCGGGTCGGGTCGGGTATCATGAAAACCCGACCCATTGACACCCCTACTTGTAGGTTTGACACGGGCACTAGAGGCTACACTAATTGTTATCAATGGAATCAAAATGAGAGGAAGCCTCTTACATAAATGTATGGTTAGGAAAGATGATGTTGTGAACCGATACATCACAATTTAGACTGGAATAAGAATCATCTTACTTATCCTTTTTATATATATACTAATATTCCTTCGGCAGTTTTAATTCATAGGTGAACCAAACGAGGCGTATATACGTTTTTTCTGATTCCCCAGACCCTTCGTTTGGATTCAGTGGCTCACAAAGATTCAGGATTGGGACGTGATCGCAGGACTCCAGCTGTTCAATGGCTAATAAGGTGGATTACCACTCGATTTTCCGATTCTAAATCGCAATTATGACCCGCGAAATGACTTGGTCATACTTGCGCGATCCTAACGCAGTCTTGGACGTCGATCTCGGAGGTTTTCCGACTCTTTCCGTCTAAACCCAAAACCCTCAATAGATTAGACGTGATAATGGCATGTTATCTACAAGTGTGCTCGCTGGTGCTACTCATTCGACGTGAAACATCCTACTAAATTGTCGCAGATTAGAGAGATGTTAACTTTACATGATCGACTAAAGCGATAAGGGCCGGTTTTGTCACAAGACTGGGGGTTAAGTGCGATTAAGAAGCAAAGGGAAGTCCATAATGTCACTCTAAATATGATCCAACTCTTTCCACATTAAGAGGATGACCTTTTAACATTAAGTGATTGTAGGGACCTTCCTATTTCTCCTCTCTCAAGCAAACTTCCATTCTTGCCCCAGAAATGGGCCATCCCAATGATCGGTAGCATCTATCATACATTGGTCACATAAAAAGAGAACTCTAAATCAATGTGAATGTGAAAGAATAGTTATATGATATAATCAAATTACATAATCAAATTATGCATTCAAAACCCTTTTTCACGTGACTTTTCCTTTACCCATTTGTGAGGTGATAAGATATAATCAAATTATACCATTCATCAGCTTAAGCACATCAAGTAAAGTCTGCATATCAGCCCAGTCAAGATCGGTCATTAACCAATGCCACGACAGAAAATTTTCTGTAAGTCCTGGTTCTTCAAGTGTAAAGTCTGAATCACCTAAAGGCGTCACGTTCTTGACCTAAACAATTGCTTGAGTTACAAAGAACAAGAAGAACAAGATACTGAGCAAAGTAACCAGTTCTTCACTATTCAGGGGAATATGTCATGATAAATTTTGCAGGATTGATGCAATCTATGCATTTTATTTGTCAAATCAAACTGCATTTTGTGTAGACTCACTCTGCGAACGAGAAACTGATCACCATAGCCTGAGGTCACTCCTGATTGAATTAGTTAATTCTTCTTCCCCTCAGCCCTAGCATACTCAATTCTTCTTCCATTTGGTCTCCACAATCAAATTAACTAAGGAGATACCTAACTAACATAGCAATGACCTCTTGGCGAGTTTCTATCATATCCAGGGAAAATCATGACCCCCCTGTTATGACTAATCACACATTAATCTTCCAATTACCAAGTCATAACTGCTTCTAAGACCTAAAGAATAAAGACATCACAATACCCTTCTCCCGACCTCAAGAATAAAGAATGCCGCTACCGCAAAAACAAGAAACAGCACTCCACCCAAATAGCCAACCATTTAAAAACACAAGCAACGAAACCAATCAAGGTCAAAACAAGTGAGTTTGCTTTGGGCATGGATCTTTTCGTAACAGGCAGCAAATACAGCTACTTGGGTGGAAAACTGAGATCACTTAAAGCAAAATACGTCCATTATTCGTCTAGCTGTAGGCAGTAAAGTGCACATCTTAGGCCTGATGTGTCGGTACCAGAACCATACTGCATAATGAAGTAGAAGCTTTACGAGCAGGAGCAACAAGTACATAAGTGCAATTCTTTGATCTTTTCCAAAGAGGAAGTTGGGAACACACTTCTGCATTTAGATTGAGAATGTACTATAACACAGAAAGGGTAGTCAGATAGCAGGCCACCAAGAAGATAGCACATTCTGGATGAAAATACTCTACAACCATAGGGTTCCCATTCGTTGCACTAAAACAAGCCAAGACAGGTTCTTCAATGACAATGTACTTGAAGATGAAACCTAGAAACAACTTGCACCAAGCATAACATCTGTCACACCCTCAAGTTCAGCAAGACATAGATATTGAATAATAAGATGATGTGATCATGCACCATGCGTTGACCTATTTGCATCAGACATTCATACATGAGCTCAATCTAATTAGAGCTCAATCAACTAAGGTTGCACATTCATAAACCCAAAAAAAGAGGGTTATAAAATCAAACGATGTTGCTGATGAGACTTCTAACAACTAAAAATAACTACATAATCTACTATTGGATTAGAGGATGAATCCAACTCATTCCAGATCCGGGGAGCCACCGGGGACCAACTGCATCAAGACAAAAAGGAAGGCATCATCACTTAAGTGATTAAGGCACTCGAAAGTAGAATTCTAGCTTTTCGGTAATGTAATTATCAAGAGGTAAGACACAAGGTTGATTGAGACAAAGGACCAGATTCTTGTAAAGAATAGGCGATGATCACTTTTTTACCACAAAATTAAGACCAGTAATATTTCGTCAAAACATCGTCTAAGCATTTTCAGTCTACGTATTGGAAGGAATCTCTCTGAGTGGCTGATTGTTTCTGTTTCGTTAAGGCAATTGCTTACTAGTTGATAGATCACCAAAACTTTAAGCAAGACCGTGCCCTTATCGATGCAAGGGCTTAAAACATATAGCCATATCATTATCAGCAGAAGGAAGAAGTTTCTTACGATAGCTATGTTGTTTCCATTAAGCAAAATCTGATCAAGCTTTGTTATCCTTCGTCCTTCAGCAGTGATCTCACTGTATGCAAGAATGAAAACAGAATCTTACGGTCGCATGAAGCTTCCACAATTTACACCTAGAAGCTCAATAAAAAGAGGAGTGAGGGAGAAAAAGAAGGGAGGTGTTGGATGTTGAGCAAGGCCATATTGCAGATGCTTGTGCAGGTATCGATTCTCAGTTAGAAGCATAGATCATATTGAGGACAGAGAGGCCTCATAAACCACGGATTTGACAACTTCCAATGATTAACATTTAAATTGAGGTCATTTGCCCCTTCAGATAATAAATTGATGTCAAGAACATAGAATGGCTTCCCTTCACCCCAAAGTAATACGAGAAGAGTCTTGAGGCACAACTAAATTTGAGAGAGAGAGATACATACTACTCAGTGACATCCTCAAGGACCATGTTGACGTACACATCGAAGCCCCTAAGAGTACCAACAAGCTCCTTGTCTCCTTTCATTATAACCCATATTTTCGAACCTATACACCGGTCAATCAACTCTGCATATTTCATTAGCGCAAGATGAACATAAGTGGAAATGCCTCCCAATATTTCCGCGAATCCCAGGAAATTAAGGAAAACAAAACAGACATGAATTAAAACATCCTACAGACCTGACGGGAGGAGCTGTGAGGGATTGTTGGCCATGGAGGAAAGTGAGAACGCTTTCTGCTTGGAAGCAATGCAACTCAAAGTAGAGAGAGAGCTCTGTCTTTAAGAAACGGCTGTTGAGAGCACATTAAGAAAAATGATTGGATTCAACGTGACTCTCAGCTCTTGAGTAAGGTCAGGTCACCACACCATCTACACACTACACATTCTTTACGAGTAGACAAATAACCAAATGACAGCCACAACAGCACACATCTATAAGTCCATGCATGAGCATTTTAATTGAAAAGGCAAAACCAACACAAATCCATTACTATGCATATCCAATGCCACATGAATCCACGATTTCACAAACCTAGGACTGCACAAACACGCAATCACGAAAAATTATAAAAGTTCAAAATTTTCACCTAATTTGACACACGCATTGCATTTTAATATCTAACAACCAGTAAATTCCGGCAAATAAACATCAACCTATCAGAAGAAGCTAATCAGATTAGCACAAAGACAACACTCGACGGACTACACATCCGTCTAAAGAAATGCAAGCAATCAAATTAACTCATTCTGCAATTTAATTTGACCAAACAAAAGCAGAAAAAAGGAACTAAGCTAGACCAGGCACAAATTAATGAAGGGTAAACATAAATTAACATATTCCAGCCCTCCCAAGTTGCACAATGGTTGATTTCCAGTAACTTACATCGGAAATCAGCCAAATTACGCCCATATCCAAGTGATCTTGTCAGAGAGTACACTCGGAAGAATGGAAAAATAAGGGGAAAAAAGATTGCGCGTCATACACAGATACCCGGCAATAATAATCTCCGATGCTGGGAATCAGAAATTCTCGAATAGCCCAGAAATCGCAGCATACAGTGATATCTTTCTAAAGAACGAAAAGACGAAAGCTTTCGCCGGCAGACACAACAAGCAGCGCAGAAATAGCCGCATGAATGGCAGCAGAAAGCAGCAGAAAAATCAAAGAAAGAAAAATTGCTCCGCACGAAATGCTGGCGGAGATCGGTGTGGGCTAGGGGTGATCAGTTCCCGGACTGTCCGGTTCCCAACCGGACCATCATGTCGAGGAACGGAACCGGAGCGGACCGACCAATCCGGTTCCCGGGTGGGTAAATGGAACCGGTGGCGACAACATGGTAAATTCATGATCAGCCATAATTCCCTTTGTGAGTTGAACGCATTCTTTAACAGCCTCATTTTGGGAAAGCAACACGAGAACTATGCTAAACAAAAACCAAAAGAGAGCTCCGTTACGTAGCCGCCTGAGGAAATCACGAAACAGAGAAAACCATCCCAAAGAACCCATCCGAATACAAAGGGAACAGACGTTCATCGGCTCCATCCCATCGATCTACGCTCGACACTACAATCCCACCTCCTCAACAATCCATTGATACAAAAAAAAAGAAAAGACAGAGCCCCCTTGTGGGAAAACCCTCTGCGGAACCACCGAGAGATGACCCTCGAGGCATATGTGGATGAATGCAAAAAGGCAATTTCGTTCAGGCATTTCGACGAACAGATGGACAGCGACCGGTTCGAAGACGAAGAACGGCAAGGGAAAAGAAAACAGAGCACGGCGATGCTTACCTCGATGCGATTGCTCGGCCGGAAAACAGAGCGAGCGAGAAGATGTGTGAAGCAGCAGCGCGACTCGGGGCGAGGCGCGATTAGGGCTTTTTGAAGGCGACAAAGATATGTGGGAAGAGCGAAGCGTGAAGGTTTTAGTTTTTATTTTTCGGTATTTTTACTTATTTATTTGTAAGAAATTTAAAAAAAGGGCTCGCGCTTTTTTCACCTAATTTTTTTTTTTTGCATGTATTTAGGATCGACAAGGATATGTATTTCTATAAATGGTTTGAATGGATTGCCTTATTATAATGCAATATGTCAGCAGTTAATTATTCGAAGCGATCGAGGCGAAGATAATATTCCATATAATGTTTTAAGGAGCATTTTCTTTTGAATCTGCGTGATGATAATGGATTTTAGGATTTTGAATGTAGTTAACTTTGTCATATTCTTTAATTCTTTGAAAATATCCTTTAAAAATTATGCAGTGATGATAATGTAATCATACATATTAAAGTTATAATTAAACTGAATGGATTCGTTAAAACTGGTTCACGATTCTTTTCATTTTTATTGATTCATAGTTTCCTAGTTAAAAAAAAAAAAGAGCTGTACAACCCATTAAACAATAACTTGTTAGTTATTTGTCATATAAACTATTTTTTGAACATTTTTTGTCCCAAATTGGAGAAAAAAAAGAAAACCAAAAAAGAAGAAAAAATTGTTAGAAATAATCTTAAATTAAGAGTAAAGCTCCATATTTGATCTTAATCTTTGTTGTTTGAGTTGAGCATCGTAGATTTGTCTTTTAGTAAATTAGAAACCAAGAAAAAAGAAGAAAGAAAGGTAAGAAATAATCTTAACGCAAGAATGGATCCACAAAGAGTAATTTGGTCAATTCAAGATAGTAGAGGCGTGTCAGAAGCCAAACAATGGGTGGAAAAAGCGCTAGCCTTAAAAAACTAAAATAATAATCGGTCCGGCCCGAGTGGTCCAGATAGGCGGTTTCATCTCTAGAACCGAATCGAAATTAACTGATTCTAATTTTATGGAAAACTGGTGAACTCGGGAACCGCCCATCAAATGTAGCCTATGAATGACCAGAATAACGTTGTACCGAGAACTTTTAAGCTAAAAAAAAAAACTTTTAAGCTTTCCGAAGATAAGCTTCATGTATATTACAACTGAGGTTGAAAGGTACTCCTTGTAAGCCAAAAAGAGTTACAAAAGATTTTGGTACTTTTCCATGTAAGGAGACAAATATAAAGCATGACCCTTCTTGGTAAGACTTTTGGCTGCACTAATTCTGACAAATTAGAGTGAGTTTTCTTTTGGGCTGAATGCACACTAGGTTGGGTTGGCTTAGCGAAAATCAGGCTATACTGACTAACCTAATCTCTCTCTTGTTGTAGCTTAGATGGAGAGGATTATCAAGAAGGAAACAAACATGCAGCGTATTCCGAGCGCAAGCATCCAATTTAAGTATCGGATCGGGGGGGATGCGAAGGTATGGTTGAAAATGAAAATCAGAATAACTCGAGGGAGAATCCACCTGGAAGCAATTCGTCAACAATGTGAGTTCTATCTGATTGATTAACAGCTCATTCCTTTTTCTGATTTTGTATATGCAGAATCTTGTTCTACTCGATAGCCTATCCCTTTCATGATGATGATGGGTTATGATTTTGATGCTAAGAATGTGTTAGATATGTTCCTGTTAGATAGATTGCAGTAATAATGAGTGGATGCTTGATGTATGAATCCAAAGCAGCAATTGGGATGTATTGATCCACAAACATGCTGTCTGAATGAGCTGAGTTCAAGCTCTTTTAGAAAGATCATTAGTCCTAATCATCGCGATCTTTCAAGATCTCATAGAAAGATGCACTGTCCTTCCACCTTTTGCTATCTTTCAACATTTGAACTCCAGCCCTTAGATTTGATGTAGGATTGGTATAGAATCTCTGTAAATTGTAACCTCATACTATAGATATCTTATACGTTCAGCAGAAAAGGTTAAACGAGAAGCCTTCAGAAAGTATGCTTGGTGTGTGTCTATATTGTAGCTTCTGGCCTCTACTTTGTCTCTTCTACAACAGTCCCGCCATATTTGCACTGTAATACACTTTGTTTGGCTAGGGATCTTTTTGCTTTGATTCTCTTTGGATGCGCTTTGGTATTTTCATTGATTGTGTTTGTCAAAGACGGGACCTTCATCAGCATTAGCTGCTATCGCAAAGTCAGGCTACACAGCTGCATTCACATTAGTATTTGTATCTGAAATCGGGGATAAGGTAGTTTTAATCATGGACAGACTGATACTATTGCCAAGAAGCATTCGTAGGAGAAATTCTCATCTCCCTCCTTATTCATCGGTCTCATGTCAATTTAGTTTCTCATCTCAAAGCGGTATGTCCCCTCACAGTGTCTTGCGTCGATATCCCTCGCGCTTGCCAGTCGAGACGCCGCTTCCTTCCAGGTACTAACTTGGGCCTTTCCATGTGTTAATAGGGTGGGATTAGCAGCTCTTGATTGTCCCTTCTAAGTAGTGAATACATAGTGATATGAATATAAACAATGTGGGAGGTACAAAGTAATAGGAGACATGGGAGAGAGTTTCATTAGTTTCGGAAGCCTTGAACAATTTTCCATCACCGGCTTCCGGTTTCGACACCCTTCGACAATAGTTTGCCGATAATGGCCCGGACGTCTCTAATCTCGTTGCTCTTTCAGGTTTGAAGTTCATCAATCCATTTGTGTTTCTTTAATTATTCCATTAACTGAGTTTATAGGCATCGTATATGTATATATATGGAAAAGAAATAACCAAACCGAACTTCCCTATCAGAAAAAGCTTTTAAAGACATATATACCGCGATTAACCGGCATTTCCAATTTGGTGCGGTGCCATCTCGGCTAATTAATCTCGGATTAGATGAAAGGTAAATCTTTGGCTAATCTTTATCTCAATCGAAAAATGAAGGATGGACCTTATTCTAACTTTTCTACGGCTGCATATGATTATTCTTGTCAACTAAAAGCTATGCACAATAATTTAATAGCAAGAATCACAACCTAATTAACTACCAGAAAATCGCAGGGGAATTGTACAATCTTTATGTAAATATGATAAGTTCGTATAGGGTTTAATACATACAGTTTCAAAAAAGGTTTGGGTTGAATGATTGGGTTGGTTGGCAAATCAAAGAACAAGGTTTTGGCTTTTACTCCAGACAAATCCGGCTGTCGGCCGTGCGGGGGTTCCCTGGGTTACCAAAAAAAATAAAATAAAAAAATCCGATGATTAATGACATAAATTTGCTGTGTGACTTCTCTTTCTTATAATGAGAAAAGTCAGCTATTTAGATGGATCGATCTTGGACTCTTGATGCAATGTAGCTATACTTTTTAAATTAAATGTCAACAAATCTCTATATTTTCAATTCATTGGATTTCCTATTTAAACGATTTTTCTACGTATTCCGGCCACTTTGATCATATAGACTTTGTTCAGGTGCACACACCATCGGACTGGCACATTGTGTAGTATTTGATAGGAGGCCCTTCAACTTAGGGGTGATCGGTTCCAGGGTGGGTTGGGTCCAGACCTGAAACCTGAAACCAACCCTGTTATAATCGATTCCCAATTTTTGGAACCTAAAACCGACCCTGTTTTGGAACCGACCCTGTTTTTTCGGTCCGGTTTCAGGGTCTACCTAAGAACCTATTTTTTTTTTCCTTTTTTATGGTTTCATTTTTTTCTAGCAAAATAATATATGTTCTTGTCTACGATGCGAAACTGATATGTGACGAATTATTCCCTTCCTATTCATAAATTACAAGCAGCAAGCATAAAATGTTAGCGATCTGCATGCTAACAAGCACGAGTTCTTTTCTTTTCTATATTGGATAAAAGGGCGAAATTTCTTTTTAGTGAATTTAAGTTCTTCATCTAAACCAAAAGAACGACAAGAATGAATAAAGGGGGACTCCTGATGAACATATCAGGTTAACTCAAGGGGGTTCTCAACTCAAAAACGCAAAAATCACTGATCTTTAAGGAGCTTGACACATATAGAGTTTCGAGTTGAGGCCAACGACTGAAATCAGGTATGCAACCAACGCTTATATTCTACCATTAAACAAACTCAGAAGTCCAAGAAGCAAGAGATAAAAGTTTCAAAAAAAAAAAAAACTCAGACAAGCCGGATTCCGCAAGATTAGATGGCGTTTCTTCCCTCAAGTCCTCCACTGATCATCAAAATTCAAAGAATCTTCTACACCAACCCAAGCCCGCGGCAAAAAACCCCTAAAACTCGAACGCAAAACCTCAAACTCGAACTCGAACATTTCCCCAACACGAGAACAGATTTGGAGCTCGAGCTCGAAACCATCTGACCTTGCAACAAAGACGAAGAAGAGAGACTGAGGGAACGGAGGACTCACGGATCGGTGAGGGATGGACGGGCGAAGCGAACGAGGAGCCTCCTCGGTTGCGTAATTGCGTTCTTGCAGCGAAGAGAGAACTGAGACAGAGGAGCGGCGGAGAGAGAAGTGATACAGAGGAGCGGCGAAGAGAGAGCGAAGAGAGAAGAGAGGTAGGGTAACGTGATTGTCATTTAGGGTTTTTTTTTTTACATTATCTTAAAACCGGTTCTAAAACCAGTCCGGGTCGGTTTTTACTTGGAACCGGAAACCGGACCGGTTCTAACCGGTTCCAAAAAAATGGAACCGGTTCGGGAACCGGTTCCAAAAAAATGGAACCTGTTCAGGAACCGGTTCTAACAAGAATTGGTACCCGGACCTGTTTTTCAGGTGGGCCGGTCCGGTTTCTGGGTAAACCCGATCCGGTTGCATACCCCTATTTCAACTTCAATGGCAACAACCACACCAACCCTTCGCTCGATCCAGAGCGCTAAAGGCTCAATGCTCGAGGCCTCGCAATTCCGATTGAGCCCTCGCAATTCCGTCGGATGTTGGATGTATGCCCTAAAGTAACCATGTAGTAGTTACATGTTAGGAATTTAAATTGCACTATCAATTTCATTGTTTATTTGACAAGAACGTATTCATTCATTTGTCCAATTATTTATATAAATGAATGATTCCATAAGATCAATTATGACTTGACATATTCTTGAGACGTTAAGAACATGTGTAAC